TCCAACACATTTATTGATTTTTTAAAAAAGATATATGAAGGAGTCTGAGTTTTACATCTTGAAATTCTGCATAACAGACAGATGCTTCATTCTACAGACAACTGCGTTAAATAATGCAGCTATCTTCTGCTGCAGAAGATACATTTGTTATACAGAAAGGTGCCTGCAGATTACAGTTTCTTGAATGTCAATTGACCATTTCACATTTAGAGGTAAATACAAGGTAAATAAAATTACTATAACTCCAAACACACAGTGCTGATCATTTTACTTCTTGAAAGCAATTTAACAGCAATGGCAAGACAGTAACCAACACCAGCTGAAAATCTTGATCTGGTGAACATGGCATGATATACAGGGTAATCAAAAAGTTGTGATATATACCCTATTACCTAAAAAAATCATAATTTATTTAAGACGTATTATACGTTGTAACAGTATCACAACTTTTTGGTCACCCTGTACATATACATAATTTTAAGGTCATAGTCTAAGCTGACAAGCCAATGCAGTATGGGGCAGTACTGCATTGTAAGAGGTGCCATGTTCAAATAGGATGTTACACCTGCTTGTTTAGGTGGATGTTAAAGATCTCATGGCACTGTTCAAAAAGAGAATGGAGTTTTTCCCACTGTCCTGGCCAACAACCCTAAATTACAAAAGGGTCACATCATCATAGGACACTATTGGGTGTAAACTGACTCTCGCATTCGTCCAAAATGATCACTATGGTTTACAGTAAAATTCCCTGAAGGACCTTGGGAGGATGCAACGTGATAAGGCACGATATCAAAAGCAAAGGATGTTACTAAACACATCTGAATTTCCTAAAACTGATCACCTTTCAACATGGCAATAGATTCTGGGATACTCAAAAGATTGCAACCAAATACGACAAATGCATTCTAAATTGTATTTTGTTTGCACACAGACTGCTGAGAGATAATGATTGCATTCATTTATGTTTTCAATACACCCTCCACTCAAAACTAGGCATACAGACGACGACGAACAACGAGTCGTGTGTGTGTGTGTGTGTGTGTGTAAAAAAAATGGAAAAATATTTCCAGGAGATAAACATGTCCTGCAATTGAAGTACTTTTTTTTCCCCCCCCACAAAAAAGAAACGATTACACCATCTTACCCCAAAAAAATCCCGTCGTCCTATTTTATGCAGGTAAAAAAAAACCGAATTATTTTGTATATTAAAACAGCACCTCGGGGAAATTAAAATGTGCCCAACCGCCGATTTCCACTTATCCAAACCGTCTCATGTGCGCGTTTGCTTTCTGCCTGAACAGATTTTTGATGGATGAGGCAAATGAGACGGAAGCGGAGGAGATATTAACTTTCGAATAAAATGTGAGCTCCTGTATAGTATATATATATATATACACACACACACACAGCGTGTGGACGGAACGGTTAAAAACAAAAGCTACGCTGCGACACATCGAGGGATATATTATCCATCGGCTTTCTCTCACCCCCGTGTAGTATGAAACTGCACCATTTGCTTTGCTTTGCTCGATCGCACCTCTCTCTCTCTGTCTCTCTCTCTCTTTCTTTCTTTCTTTCTTTCGTTCTCTCTCTCCCTCCCTCCCTCTCCCTCTCTGCCTGTGAAAGAGAATGTTCTGTCCTTTCCATCACGGGACTCGGCTTCCCGAAAAAAAATATTCACCGCCAACCTCTCCGCCGCCACTCGACTGACTGACTCACTGACTGCGGCGTCGGTGAATTTATTTATGGCACTTTGTCTCAGGGCACAGGGCAGCGCCGGAGGTGGTGGTGGGGGGCGCGGGTGGGGGGTTATTTGGTGAACGAACACACTTACCGGCATCATCTTGAGAGACTTTTCAGCGCTCTCTCAAAATACGGCCAATTTCCCCCACAACAGAAATCCCGGGGCAATCTCGGCGGCGGCCGACAGGCGGCCCGAGGCGGCGACCGACCGGAGGTGTCCGACTGAGGCTCCCAGGGGTGTGGGGGAAGAAAGCCCGAGTCCGAAGTCCAGGCCGCGGGTTAGATTCACCTTTCACTCTCGGGGGGAGGGAGGGAGGGTGGGCAACAAAGGTCCAAAATGCGGCGAAGCCCCGCGGGACGGCGGTCTTTTCTTTTAATTAATAAGGAGCGGAGGTGAGGGGGAGAAATGGGAGGAGACGATGGCGGCGCGGACGGCTCGGCTGCGATCCACCTCAAAGCGCCGCTCGAGGGGCTGTCGACTCAGGGCCGCGCGCTGCCTCCCGGCCAAGGGCGTTTCCAGTTGGCTGTCGGGGGGGGGAGTGGCGCTCAGCCAGGCCGCTCGCGCCCAACCGCCGCCGCCCGCCGCAGGGAGAGCGCGTGCGCCGAGCCCGGTCACCTGACTCCTGCGCGCCCGTGCGTGCAAGTGTGTGGATCGGTCAGTCAGGTAGAGCGGGGGGTGGGGGAGAGGGGTGGGCGGTGGTGGTCGTCGTCGACGTTATTATTCGGGGGTGACCAAAAGGTCTCGATACCATTACCATAACACACCTCATCAGCCTTGAAAGAAATTGTATATATATTTTTTTTAGACAATAGGATAGACTTTTTTTTTCGCGGGGGGAGGGGGGGCATTCCTGTAGTGCCCGAATCCTCAAAACAACAGCTAACTTTAGTCCCTGCACCTCCCCTCCCTCTCCCTCTCCCTCTCCCAAGGTGCGACGACGCCCCCAACCCCCCCTTCAATCTTATTGCTAAGAGACGCGAAAGGCCCTGTTTTTTTTTTAAATTCCTTGCGGTTAAGACATGGCTCCAGAACCAGAAGACGCGCCCGCACCACCGCGCGAGGCATCTCTGGAATGCGGTTAAGGTGTCCCTGTGTGGGTGGGTGCGTCGAAAGGAAGACTCTTCAAGAGCATTGCACCGCCTGTTTCCGTACGCGCAGCTGTGCATGTAGACGGCCACCTGCTGGCTGAATGCTGTTCTAGAAGTCGGAAAAGATGTTATCCCTTCGGAAGTCCCAAGATTTGAGCCCCCCCATCCACACATCTTATTGGGAATTTTGGCTTGTACGGGAAAAGTTCCCTTTCTTGCCGGAGAACGTTGCCGAGCGGCAAGTTAAAACCTTGGGCAAGTTTCCTTACTCCACACGGCTAGTAATAATAATAATAATAATCCCGCCCCAAAACAAAAAGCAATAATAAATTGGGTCATTTTCAATCCACGACGGTTTGTGGGACGCTGCTGTGCGCAACTGACTGCCGCGTTTCGCCCACTAATATACGGTCAATTCACTTTACAGTCTATTCTGTGAAGTGCTTTGAGACTCGAGAAAACGTGAAAAGCGCTGTATCAAATGCAAGGATTATTATTATAAGCAAGGACAGAGTGTCTGTCTACCAAAATATTAAGCACTTTTTTTCTGGGGGGGGGAGAAAGATAAAACTGAAAATATTTTCTTTTAAGAGGGGAAAGCTACAGCTACTGTTCGATGAGTATTTTAGAGGTATTGGTGACCAACACACTTGTAAGTTTTATCTGACATCTAAATTCGATCAGTTCATCTTGTTTTATTTTGGAGATGTCACTGGAACTAAGAGCCACACATACAATTTAATAGCAGGACCTGTTTGAAGAAACGTTAACTGGTTAGGGGAGTGCTTTCAAATGTGATTATCTTAATCAATGGCTATAATGTGCCACCACCTTTTAAGTTAAAGTATTTAACTTCTGTACAGTGTGCAAGTGTCTATTTTTCATATGATCCTTAACAGGGAATGTCAACAGGCTATTTGACAATGGAAGTTATTGCAACCAAGGTATTGTTCGTCTGGATTCATCTATCTGAAGCGTTTTAGCAGTGATTGTGAACCGCAGTATCAAACTACATTTTCCCTGTATCTTTCTAATGAAAGTTGAATTCAAAGAAATCAAGAAAAACATGCCAGTGTTAGAATATGTTTCCATTTAAGTCTATGATGACACATGCTATTATTTTGTTGTTATATTTGTTTAGAACCCTATTCTGGCCCTGATTAAGTGAAATGCAGCCAATTAAAAAGGTTTGTTAGGATTTTGTTAGCCTTTAGATTGTACCAAGTTGCTGAACTACTGGAATGTTATTCCAATGATATATTTGAATCTTTTCATTATTGAAGTATTTCTGAGTTACAAAGCAGTCGTAGTTGACAACCCCTTATCAACCTGCCAGCTCCCTCCGCTCAGTAGGCTCCAGCCTACTCCATGTGCCCTGCCCAGTCCACCATTGGCAGTCGGGCCTTCAGCCTCTCTGCCCCACCCTCTGGAACTCTGATCCCCATTCCCTTTGCCTTGCTCCCTCGCTTACCTCCTTCATAGCACGCCTCAAGACTCTCCTCTTTGACCATGCCTTCGGTTACCCTCTCTGCCTCCCACCCTGATCCTCCCCGCTCGAGTCCTAAACCCTGACAGTTCAGCACCTTGGGACATCCTCCTGATTTGAAAAGAGCTTTACAAATGTAATTTTGTATTGTATTGCATGTGGTTTCTATTACAAAGCCAAATATTGCATATTTTACTGATCTCTAAAATGTTTTCACTCAATTATGACAGAAATTTCAGAGAGAAAAATGTTCAAGGTTATCTGGAAAACATTGCCCTGCTCTGAATAATCATCAACATTTTTGGGGGCAGAAATTCAGTTTGAAGGAGTTTTTAAGTTCATGGAATGGAAGTTATTAAAATATACCTGCTGTTTGTAACCTTTTTCTCAACTCTGGGCTAACAATATGACAGAAGATGGTGGCACAAGGTCAGAAAGGGAGTTTTTAAAGTGGATCCATTTTTAATTGATCCAAAAATGTAAAGTGAGCAGGAGTGAAACCAAAGCCACTGCTCATATGTTGAAACATACAGCAAACCTTGGTGGTTTTCTTCATTGATTTGTGCAACAAAAAAAAACTCAAAACATGTTCAAAAGAGTACAATCATACAACTGTGTTAAAAGTGGCTTCAGACCAATCCGAAGAACCATTTCTATAACCATAACAAATATAACTTTCACATCTGCAACACTCAAATTTTATTCCTTCCATTACACAAATTGCATACTCCAAGATGACATTCAATCTTCTGCAGCCTGATATCTTCCCGGTGATTCACATGATTTTAGCCTAGGTGGTCGACCTCGGTGTAATCAATGGTGTGCTTGATTAGTGGGTGCTAGTAGGAGAGAAAAAATTTGAAAAGTCAAGCCCACCTCATTATGAATAAGTAATTTAATGAGCCTTACCAATAGCTTATCTATTGACTACCTTGTTGTGTCTGGACACTGGACTGGCTGAGATCACCTGGGGTTATATACACGAAAGAAAGCTACATGTGTTATTTTTTTAGAAATACATGCCTATTGTGTGAGGCGGGAGGGGTGGGGGATGCAGGCTGAGAGAGGGTGGGAAGAGATGAGCGTGTCTGTCCTCCCCCCAACATGGCTGCAGAGACTTGAATTTCTAAACCGAAAGGGACACATCTGAATTGGATGCAAATAGCTTCAGTGGAGATTCATAGTTCACATTTGGAAATAGATATGTTTTAAACACCTCGTTATTCAATTTCAAGTGCTAAATGCAATAGAGTAGAACCCTTTTATAGGATTCACTTGTAAGGGGTGGACTCCCAACATTTACTTACACAAAAAATCCAAAGTTCAACTGCCATCTCAACGGCACTTCAAATGCCATTTGGCATGCAGGAAGACAAAATGACCAACTTCTGGGTCATCAGGTTGTTGCCAATGTCACTTTAGACATACTGAGTGGGCCTTCTGAAGAGCCAATGGTGTTGGCCATCTTTCTGTGTTCATTCATAGAGAATGCAAAGTGTCCCGTTTTAATGCTGATTTGCATTTTATAGACCCCACAACTACCACATTATAATGCACATTATTCAAGATTTAATGAAAGCTTAGCCTCAATATATTATTGAAAGTCACATAAAAAGGTCTCTACAAGTTTGATTGAGGGTGTTCACAGCAATAGTGCATTTCATAAATACAATGAAATGTTAAAAATAACAAGTACTTACTGCTTTTTACAGCTTTCTTACCTGCAAGAAAATAAATACCATATTAGTGTAGTTTAAAACTGAAATCTCTACGCACAACAAATGGTAAATGAGGTACATAAATCACAATAACATCAAACTTCAAATCAATCACATTATTTCAGGCCTTAATAGTGAGAATGGATATAGATAATCCTTAAAGCAAACTTTCTTCAAGTTGATCCAATGTATCACAGAATTAAGAATGTATGATACTTGAATAACTTCAACATTAACATTCCTGAAAATAAAATGTTGAAATTAATAAGATTTACTGAAGGACTGTGAGGAGGGAAGGATTTCCTGCATATTTATATGAAAAATAATGAACTTTTTCTTTCTCAAACTAGCAAAACATTAAAAGTTTAGTCTAATACTTCTTTCACATCTCAGTTATTCTACAAAAGGTTTCATCAGCAATCCATGGATCATTTAACCTTCAAGGTGTGAGTTCACTGGGAAGTAATTAACAACACAACTACCACTACTAATTTTCATTTACATAGGCCTTTCACACAGGAAGACTATCTCATAACTCTTTACAAAGAGTGAGAATCAGATTAGTGACTTCAAAAAGTGGGCTAAGACTGTAACCATTTTTTTCTCATAAAGTCTGCATATTTGGATATCTGCAAGTTTGTATTATAATTATTTTAGTGTTTACTCAAAAGTACTCATGAAAATTCCATAATATATACACACATGTATATGTATATATATAAAAACATATATCCAGTATATATATACACACACACACACACCTGAGCTCATAGTATGTTGCAGTACCATCTAATGTTAGACTGGCAATGCACTTTTCAATTCTCCATTTGGAGAATGTGAGCTATAACAAGTGGAGATCGCAGCAACTCATAGGTTTGAAAAATTACTGAGAACCTCATTACTTTATGAATCTTAAAGTAATTATGCAGAGAGGGAAACTGCCAGAGATCTCAATTTCTGCAGCAAGGTGGGAAAATCAATTCTACAAAGGTTCCCATTCTTCATATTGCGATTCTCCCACAAAATACACAGCCAATTTGATTTACAATATTTCCTGTGAAGCGCTTTGAGAGACATCTGAACGATATAAGGCGTTATATCAAATGCATGGACTATTATTATGATTACTATGCAGCAATCTCAGTGAATATGTGAACACTGGACTTCCAGTGGACTGGAGTGCAATGCCTTCCACAATTAAATAGCCTGCTGACAATCACTGTCTAATTTCACACATTAAGAAAAGACAGCTTAGTTAAGATATTTAGGGTTCCGGCACCTCTGAACAGAATTTTATAAAAATCAGCATCTTCTGGAGAGGAGAGGGGTTTATTCACTTTACAGTGTGTTCTGTGAAGCGCTTTGGGACGTCCTCCCGACGTGAAAAGCGCTCTATCAAAATGCAAGGGTTATTATTATTATTATTATTATTGACATACAAGTCCCAGATGNAAAAAAAACCGGGGGTACGAAATGTCACAAATCGAAAACCCTACAAACGTATTAACGATCGCACATTATTCAACAGAAACGAGAAGCTGCAAATACGTAAAGAAAGACACTTTCGCACTTCTTTGCGGATACCCACCGCCATATGACAACTTGTAGTAGAGGAAGGTCATGATGGCTATACCAGGCCATATCTCCGGGTAGGCGCGAGTATAATAAGGCTTCATTCTGGTCCACCACTCGGAAATAGCTCGACTCACCATCTGTGGGGACAGAACCACAGCTCAGGAGCTCAAGAAAAAAAAGATGACAAGAGCCGACACTTGTCATGACGGGAAAGGTATTCAAAAAATGATTTTTTTTAAAAAAAATTATATAAAAAATACGCGGACCCAAATTTACTCATCAATGTGTGAGCGACACTTAACCACTCACATGCTCCTCCCCCCCCCTTCCCCTTCCCCACACACACCTGTATCCCGTGATACCGGGAAGCCCCGAGCCGCCCGCCCGCCCGCCCCGCGAACTGACACAAGGCCCGACCGTGCCCACACCTGCGTCTGAACCGGACTTGAAGAGGGAAAACGAGCGATTCGCTCACCCTCTGAACACCGCGCTGCCCGTTCCGCGGCTTATGTCAGCGAAAGGGAGCAGTAACTCACGCTGTTTCGCCCGGGGATCCGCTGCGGCTAAAGGAAGGTCACCACCGGTCGAGGCTGAACAAGGACTCTGCGATGTACAACGCCGACGATCGTCGACGGGACGCAAGAGCTTTCAGTCCCAAGAACTGGCATCCAGGGAGAACCCCCCACAGCGCCACCTACCGGCAGCACCGACACTCCCGCAATGCACGAACCCCCCCAAGCCTCCAATTTTAATGCTGCTTTGCGCCTCTGTAACAATAATAATTTGATCACGCAATCCATGACAGTTTGCGGGGCACCGCTACGCGAAATTGGCTGCCGCGTTTCGCCCACAAGATACACAGTCATTTCACTTTACAGTATATTCTGTGAAACGCTTTGAGACATTTCAAAGACATGATAAGGTGCCGTATCAAATGCAAGGATTATTATTATTATTATTATTATCATTATATCAGAAGGTGCCACTCTTCATTTTCACTTAAAAAAAACACAACTTGGATTTCTTGGATCCAACCACATGAACCGCAATGGTCCCTACTTTCTGGAACCTCCACCACACCTCTTCCTTCGCTTTCTTCAAGATTCGTCTCAAGACCTTCCTCTTCGAGTGTGCCTTTGGTCATCTTCCCACCCACCACCTCCTCTTTGTCCCCAACTCGGATGCAAGCGCTGGACTATCCAGCGCCTTGGAGCGTGCACCCGACGTGAAAGACGCGATAATTAAATGCAATCTGTCGTTGTAGTTGTTGAGAATGTTGTTGGCTCAACCGTAGAAGAGAGAAGACAGAAGTGGCTGGGAACAGGAGACTGATCAGGCAGCATCCATGGAGAGAGGAAAGTGAATTCACGTTTCAGGTCAATGACCTTTGATCAGACCCTTTTGGGTAGGTCATCGACCTCATTCATTCACTTTCCCCTCGCCACACGTGCTGCCTGACCTTTGCTCCGTGTTCCCAGCTTTTATTTCTGCTTTTATTTCAGATTTCCAGCGTCTGCAGTATATAGATTACGCCATTCACTCAACGAGCGATTAAGATACAGTGGTGCAGCCACCACGCGTGCGCAGTATACACCGCCACTTGGGCGCTCAAAACCGCGCGTGCGCACGCGCAGCAGCCGCGCGTCGAAGTCCTCGCGCTCTCTCCGACGGTTTGATCGACCGACCGTTGGTCCTGACGGTTCAAAATGATTAGGAACCTGACGGTGCAGCAGATCAATGACTGGTTCACCATCGGCAAACGCATCAGCAATGCCGAGCGACTGGAAGGAAAGACCGCTTCTTCGGCCGACGTGGGAGCCTCCCGCGCGACTCTCGACGAACCGAGCAGCCGTGAGGCGACGGCGGCGGCTCCACCACCACCACCACCACCGAACCGGTGAGCTTCACCGGGAGCGTGTCACCCAACCGCAGGGTCGGGCCCGAGACCAACTGCGCTTCCGGTGGCGGACAGGGAACCCAACCGCCTTTGAAGAGGGGAGACTTGATAGCCGGGGAGACATCTTCCCCCCCTCCCGCTCTCCTTCCTCTCCCGCCCCACCCACACGGTGTAAAATGGATTCCGAACAACCGCTGAAGTATTCCCACATTTCTCCCATATGTGGTTGTTTCCCAATAAACCACACATGGTTTCAGTTGTCCCTCCCCTCGTTTAAGGAGATAACCGAAGTTAATTTCGGGGGATTTCTCGGTTGAAACAGATCATCCTCAACCCCCCCCACCCACCACACCACCACACACACACACACACAAGCAACCAACTAACTTCAGGTACTAATGAAGCTATTGCCAAAACACCTGATCTTACCATTTTTTTTAAAAAAAGAAAAAGGCAGTCGGAGAATGTAGATTCACTAGAATTTGGGGCACGTGCTTCTGATTGCTAACAGCACGAGCCTGACAACTGGGAGGGAGGCCAAGTGGTGACTCCCTTGAGCTGGCCTGGCTCTTAACGCTTTGCTCTCAGCGGTCTCGGTTTAATGTTATCTGAAATTAGGCAAGAATGGTGCCTTCAGGTCCCCTCTCAACTCTCTACCCCCTCACTCACTCCCTCCCTCCCCTCCCCTCCCCCTGACCATTTCCCCCCCTGCTCGGGTCCTGGCCCAACTGTCCAGCGCCTTGGGACGTCCTCCCGACGTGAAAGGCGCTCTATAAATGGAATCTTGTTGTTGTTGTTGTTGTTGTACAACCCTTTGGGTGGAGTGTGCACACAATTTCTGACGCCCCACGCCCGTGCATAGGTGGCATGCGGAGACTTCGATGCACTTGAGCGTGGTAATGATGGACCAGACACCGAGCTGATCCAGAATGAACCACTGTGAACGTGGTATTGTTTGGAAATGTGAAACGTGGTGCCGGTCATGTTCCAAAAAGTGTTATTCCATGTTCCAATTGCTAAGTGTATCTGTGGTCACTATTTGCTTTTGCGTGCCAGACAATGTTGGATCAGGAGCTGGCTGTTTTGGAGTTTGTGTGTTCAAATGAGGCACCCCACAGTACTTTCTGCCACAAGGAACGTTCAATATTTTGGAATCTTAAAAGACTTGCTTGCGACTTTAATGATCTAAGTTAATTCCGAAGATACTGCAGTTTGTAGAATAGCTTGCACAAATAATTCATTTGTACTCTTGGGGCGGGGGGGGGAATCTAAATGTTTCACAGGTGCGCGTTGAGATACATGTACAGACCACACGCATTGTGAATGTTATAGTTTTACTAATTTTTAATCTATTGCTTCTCCATTACTGATAAATTACATACTACATATTATTACTTATTTGTAGACAAAAAATCCTGTTCCCTTTCCCCTTGTGAAAGTCTCAGTGGAGCAGTCACCTCTTGTGGTTGTCCGTATAGATGAGGTGCTTCTAGACATCTGCCAATGCCACCCTGAAGCTGGTCACTGAAAATGAATGGCAGCAGCTTGGAAAGTATTCTTCATTGGGTCAAGAGGTGCCTTATCTCTGTTCAGGGTCACTTCCCAACAGAATTGCTGATATTCAGATGAATCACTGTACTGGGGTGAAATCAGACTTTTGATGCTGGTGAATTGGTGTTCCACTGCACTATTGCATTGCCAAACTATTATTATTCATTGTAAGCATTAGCGGAAGGATAGTATTGTGGAAGATTCCAAATTTTTTGCACTGCAGTTGGATACACATTGTGCAGACTTTTATCAACATAACTGGAAATAGTTGGGATCTCTTCTTTGTTTTCTGAAATCCGGTTGGAACTTTTACTCGATAGTCTAAATGTTAACATGTGTTTTTTAATCCATTGTTGAATGACTGTTCTTTGACGCTCGTCCTCTTCAGCAGTGTCAATAAATTCCTGCAGAACTTGCTTAAAAATATTGATGATTTGCTGAGGTACAGGCTCAGCATCTGCCCAAACTTCTCGAATCCTGTGTAAATGGGCAAATAAAAACAGTTAATGCAGTATGCAGTTTCTAACAGCAGTCTATCAGGGGCAAAATCAATTGAGAAATAAAAAGGCATTGCTGTCTAATATATGTATTATATATTTTAAAAAGTCTATTTCTGTAGGAAATTGCATCAGTTAATTTATCTAGTAATAACTTAAATTATGCCCAGATCTTTTTCTTGCCTTTGGCATTGACACATTAATTCATTAACTATGCCAAAACTGTAGTGTTTAGAATCATGTGATAACTCCATTGACATTATAGGATTTATGATTATTATTTTCACTTTACAGATTAAAAACTTTTGCATTGCTTTATTCAAAGTTTACTTAAGAAGGTAGGCAGGTTATCTGCTCCTAGGTCTCTGTTAGTGTTATACAATTGATTGATCAGGACCTATCAAAATCATACAGAACCACTCGATGGCTCAGTCCCTTAAAGCACCAACGTTTGACCTCTACAGATTATGGATTATCGCTTTGAAAGATTCTGAGTGAACTTCCATATGAAATAATTGTAACTGCTCAGTTAATTAATCTAGTGAATAGCTTGTTGAACTATTCAGACTGTTAAGTCCTTGATTCAATCCCTGATTTGTGTTGACTAATAATAATAAATCTATGCATTTGATATAACACCTTATCACATCATTGTGACATCCCAAAATGTTTCACAGGATATAGTGTCGTGGTGTGAAGGGATTATGTGGGCAAACGCAAAATAGCAAATTTGAGCCAGTGTGACATGAGACATTTGACCTCGACAGGTTGCTAAACATCAAAATTCAGATATTATTACTGTCAATTTGGTTGAGGCTCCTTGAAGGGATCCTAGCATTTGTATAAGTGTACGTTATTTACAAAGAAGAAAAAAGATTTCAGTGCCTTCATCAACAACAACAAGATTACATTTGTAATGTCAGGAGGACGTCCCAAGGCGCTGGAAGGTGAACAGCATTTCAGACCTGAGCTGGGGTCAGGGAGGGAGAAGGGAAGGGGATTGACCGATGGCATGATCGAAGAGCAGGGTTTTGAGGCAGGACTTGAAGGAGACTAAGGAGGGGGTGAGGCAATGATTGGGGGATGGAATTCCAGATGTTGGGGGCAGAGTGGCCGAAGGCTCTCCCGCCAGTGGTTGGGTGGGTTGGGGGATGTGGAGCAGACGGGAGCCGGCTGAGCAGAGGGAGCGGGTGGGTTGGTAGGGGGTTAGGAGGACGCAGAGGTATGGTGGGGGGAGGCTATGGAGGGCTTTGTAGGTGAGGATCAGGATCTTGAACTGGATCCTCTGAAGGATAGGGAGCCAATGGAGTCGGGCTAGAATGGGGGAGATGGGGTCATGGAGTTTGGTGCGGGAGAGGACACAGGCTACATAGTTCTGGATTATCTGCACTCTGTGGAGTGAGGAGATGGGAAGGCCGACAAGTAGGGCATTTGCATAGTCAAGCCTGGAGGTGATGAAGGCATGAACAAGAGTTTCAGTGGCCTGAGGGGTGAGGTAGTGGCGGAGTCGGGCAATGTTATGGAGGTGAGACAAGGCAGAGCAGGTCATGGCTTGGATGTGGGGAAGAAAAACAGTTGAGGGTCGAACAAGACACCTAGGTTCCTGACTGGCTTGGTGAGTTGAAGTGTGCAACCATGGAGGTTGATGCTGCCAGAGCCTGAGGTACAGAGGTGCTGGAGTGAGACAATCAGGAGGGCCTCAGTCTTCACATTCAACTGTAAGAAATTTGCCCTCATCCAGGACTTGATATCTGACAGGCAGTCTGTCAGGACAGCAGTGGTCCTAGAGTTGAGAAAGATAGAGTTGGGTGTCATCCGCATACATATGGAAGTTGACCCCATGTCTGCGGATGATGTCACCAAGGGGGAGCATGTAGATATTAAACAGGAGAGGGCCAAGGACAGAGCCCCGGGGGACGCCAGACGTGACAGTGCAGGGGCTGGAGGAGAAACCAAAAGAGAGTTCAAATGAGAGTTCAGAGAATTGGAGAGCAAAACCTGTGGCTTTTTGTTAATAGAAGGGTCCTTTTCATTGTAATGAAATTCCAGCACAAAATGTGTACCTTTTGCCAGATGAAAGCTCTAAATATTATGCTAGTTTTGCACATGTGAAGGATAATTACCATTAAATGCTGGTGGCTAATTATTTAATTTAAAGGTGCTAGACAAGGCACATTAAAAAGACATGCCTTTGGCTGCTAAGAACAATTTGCTTACTCAAAATGTGATATTATCCATATACAGATTAACTGGAGTTTAAAATAATTAATCGTACCAATGATGAAAGCCTAGTGTGATGGTACAGCCATTAATGCTTCAAATTGTTTTAATATGGAGTGATAGGGAACAGGCAAAGTACGTACCTATGATTGTCAAGCCACCTTCTCTTATATACAGCGATTTTTGATATCAGTTGTGCTTTAAGGGTTAGCACTTAATCAAAGCAAAATGCTTTCCCATTTGTGGGGATGGGGGGGGTAGGGTTGAAAGGTGAATTATCCTAGACAGCTATTGAATACCTCATTGCTGGCAGATCAAGGGTAGTTTTGGCAACAGCAGGAAAACCTATTCCTTGCTTGATGTCTGTCTGTTAAGTGGGACATTGAAGCCTTAGAAACTGGGGTGGTAAAAAAAAATTTAGACAAATCATTCCTCATCCTTATAATAAGTTGATAATGTTTCAAGGATTAATAACATATGGAATAAACTTATTAATTTAAAATAAAGACTCACTTGTACAGCACAATCTCAGTATCCATTGGGTGAATTTTGGAACACAGAAGTTGTAGCTGACTTTGTTCTTCAGGTGAAGTGCATGGTTTCAGACTCTGAGAGTTTTTCACCCAGTTACAAATTTTGCCAGTTTCCTGGATTTTCTGTTCATCTGTTGACATGTTGGCCAATCTTTGACATTCTTTTATTTGCAATGCTAATTCCATCATCAGAGGTTCAGTTGCCTTTTCCGATCTTAGTTTTTGGATGGGACTGTGAGATTCATTCCTTGACCATTTCATCCATTCAAACAAAGACATTCTGTAATTCAAATGAAAGTAAAGAACATATTTTATTGTATTAAAATTAACACATCAATTTAGAATTAGAGTATTTGGGATGTTAATGGAATCCATGCACACAAAATAGGTTTCTTGCCAAAGTGACAATTCTTTTTGTGTGATTCCTACAGTGAGTGTTGGTAGGCTGTTTGACTGGGGAAAGGGAGAGTGGGGGATAGGGAAGAGAAAAGTAATATCTGGGTTGAGCCTTGTATGACGTTAACAAGTGCCTTTCCTTCAAGGTCACTGGTTAGTAATTAGGAGGAGGAAGCCTGATGAATGTTCCCTTTTCCAGCTTAGGGCATTGAGATCAGTCGCGGTACTCAATGCAGCCCCAAATTCAGTTACTCAGTACAGACTGGAGATTATTGTGTCTGAATGGCTTAGTTTCATTTTGGACAATAAGTTTACCAGCTTATTATTGAAATAAGATATGTTTGTTGTTGAAGTTATATGATTTATTGGATCCTTGGTATCTCAAAGATTTATTGAAATTCAAAGGGTATAAAGGTGATCAATTCAGGGTTCTATTGCTGCTAATCTCGGTTTGGCTGTATGAAGGTGATCTTGAAATGTGTAAAATGACATCCTTTTCTATTTACTTTCCCTCTCTGGGAAGTGACTGCCCTCAGGGCCCGTCGAAATGAATATAATTTACTAAAATCTGCCAAAAGTTTCATTTTGCAAGGTAGGGAGAGAGAACACTTTGTAGAATTAGTACCATATAAAATGGTACCACCACATTTATCCTTAATTACAACAATAAAACTTGCATTTATATAGCGCCCTTCACGCGGGGTAGTGTCCCGGAGCACTTGGTTAATACTTTAGCGCTTAATTATACTTTAGTCTGAATTTGTCTGCTTCAATGATGTCTGTCGTGGTAATTTTATCAACTTCGATTGTCACTGAATAATATGAATACTCAAAATAGCTTACCTTTTTAATTTGTCTCTGACAAGCAAAATGTCTTGAAAGATGTTACTAATCAGAGTCTTCTGTATAAAGCAGGAAGAATTATCACCGTTGTTGACCGATAGCTTCCAGTTAACAACCTTTTCAAGGGAATAAAAATCTTGTTCTGTTGAAAAATAACTTGGTCCTTGCTGCCTATACCATTTGGTACTTCCAAGTCATTGAAAGAAATGTGAATTCTGAACTCATTTCAGCCCCTGAGCCATGATCTGTAGACCTACGTGCAAGACTTCTTGTGAGGTTTTTGTTGTTGTGGAGAGCGTTATTGCTAGCAAGTGAATTGGAAGTGAATGTGTGTGTCATACAATAATGAAGCATAATGGGCACAGATGTGCCCACAGGGACAGCAGCTTTATTCAGTTTGTTTCAGCTTTTCCATCTTGAGTCACTGAACTTTCAAACCTGACTTTAGATATATTTTAGCATTAAGGATATTCGACATAGTCATGTCTAAATTATGAGTTCAAAAGTGAATGAGAATGACAGTTTTACATTCAAAACCTATATATGTTTTTAAAAGGTTAAAACATATACATATATGATGTATTGACATCTAGCACAGGCACGATTTTATGCAAGTTGGAAAAACAAATTGTAAAAAAAGGTAGAAGACATGATGAGATGCCAGTGACTTCCAGTGACTGATATTGTTAAATATCAGAATATTTTGTTAATCTCAATACTGAATATTTTCTGAGTCTATTTTCCATTATTAGTCACAACTATATTTGTTTGAAGTTTGGATTAATTCTTCTGGAATTTATTCAACTATTTAAAGTTTCCATTCATGTTCTTCTTTCTCTTCCATTATGATGAGGCGTGGCAGGCTTTTGTCACGAGGTATGATAGTAATCTAGCCCAAAATTGTTTAACCATTCTTTAACCTCTTCCCCCTTCCCAATGGCAAGTAACATGGTTTATTTTTGTGGTGTGTTAAAGTGGCAGTTGTGTGTACTCTGCTTGTGTATTTAAGTATTTAAAAGAAGCTAATTCCCTCCTTGCTTGTGTTAGTACAGTATATTGGTATACATAGAGTTGAATTTCATGAACTAAGTTGACATTAATTTATCTTTTTGTGCTCCTTTCATGATATTCCCCAGAGTGAGATCAGATACTGCAAGATGTTCTTGTCTAATGGTGCAGCTCTTATACTTCTGGAGTCCTGTAGCTCAGTGGTTAGAGCACTCGCTTTGCAAGCGAGAGACCTGAGTTCAATTCCAGACAGGTCAGGGCGAAACCTTGGGCAAGTTTCCTTATATCTAGCTCTCATATCTAGTGAGCTGTGACAAGAATACCTCTCCACTCCTGTGTTGATTTTTCTCATTAAACTCATTTGTGAATTTTGTTGGTTTATATCTTTATTTCGTTGGGATCTGACTAGCAGACCAGCAATTATGTATGGAAGTAATTAACCTACTGAATAGGATTGAATCAAATTGCACTTCGTCATGTAATATCAGACCTGTAGTACATTTTTGTAAGGAGAACGTCTGACATTTAGAAATTGGATATAGATCAGATTTCATTGAGGTTTTAGTGTTTTACATTTATCTTTCCAAAGGCAGATTGATTTAAGATTATTTTTGTGACATTGATAAAGACTCTAAATATAGGAAAGATTTAATCTGACCTTCAAAATGTATTTTTTAAAATAAGTCTGGGTGAATTCAATTCAAATAAGTAGGCCCTTGAGCACTCATTATGATTTTCTTCCACAATTCAATGTCACTGAATCAAGTGAAAGCCAAGAGAGATGTACTGCTATTTATGGAAAATGTTAGACAAACATTTTCTCTGCAAAGGTCTAGAATGCCCTGAAATACCCCTACGTTCAGCAGTGCAAGTGTCTTAGTGTTCATTGTATTTGCCTGAAGCTAATTCTAAAAATTTCAGTCCGCAAATGCTGCCTAAAGACATCGTGAAAGCATCTGACCTGAATTTGTAAATCAGTGTTGCGCACTTTTAATGCAGTTCCTTCTAGTACTGAATATGTAGCCCTAGGTGACAGAAAATTCAAAGTGAACAGGAAAATTAGAATGCACTCGCTCGTGTGTTTTGTGTTTGTGAGAGGCAAGTTAAATGAATACCTTTTTTCTTTAACTAAACTGTACATTTGTTGTTTCTTATGTTTGTAAGTGTGTATCTAGATAAAAGATTATAGAGATTGTGATTGCCTTGGTCAAATATAATCTAAGTGGCTGCATTGTCTTTAAGATTTGGACATATATTCCCTCCAATTGTATCAAACTGGGTCATTTACTTTTTAAGTGGAGTAATTTTAGTCTTCTTCAAATGGATATACTACTTCTAAGAATATTGGTTTTAAATGAGTGGAATGAAAGAAATTATTCCTGTTTCTTCTTCATTCCTGATTAAGATGATCATAGTGGATAATGGACACAAAGGCAATTTAGATAGTTTAGAAGTATCAATTGCAGACATTTTACTGTTAATTTCCTATTTATGGTCCATGGTTATAGCAGCATTATTAAAATGGTTAAGAGTATTCTGCTACAAGGAAGAAATTAAGCCCTTTGTTATTGCAGGTGAAAAGTGATACTGCATTCTCATGGTAAAGGGCTGAAAATAACAACTAAAGAGAAGTACGGATTCTGGGATTGAGATGATAAATCATTCTTCTACAAATTTTGGAAGTTGACTTCGTAACTGCCTTTGTCAGCCTTGGAATTTCCACTACTGGATGTGCTCCTCTATATAAAACATTCAAACACATATTCAAATGATACTTTGTCTTTTAATATTAAACTTGGAATACAGCACATTTAGTGTGTATAAAAAAAATTGGTGCTGAAAAAAGCTTTGCATAAAATGTACTACGTCGAATGAAATTAGCTGTTGGGAGAAAGACGGATGCAGAATAAGTGCGGAAGGTGGGTCTGATGTGGTCTAAGAGAAATGTTTTATTCACTGTTAAACTTTGGCACTTGAGCTCGGTGTTGTTTTGCGTTGGGTTTGTTTTTATTCAAAAGGCTCAATTTTCTGTTGATTGAAGTTTGCACTCTCTCTTACTCCTGCTGACAGTTAACATTAATCCCTCTCCCCAAAAAATAATAAAACAATAATAATTTGGTCGCTCAATCCACGACTGTTTGCAGGACACTACTGTGCGTAATTGGCCGCTGCATTTTGCCCATAAAATATACTTTCAACTCACTTTACAGTATATACTGTGAAGTGCTTTGAGACGTCTCGAAGACGTGATGAGGCACTATATCAAATGCACGGATTATTATTATTAAAATACAAACAGAATCACTCCAAGGATATTCAGTGAATGTGAAAGGCAGTTGTCTGAGTGCAAATGCTTCAGTGTCAGCACAAGGAAGATCTGTTTGCTGTAATTGGAACTGATAATAATTTTACTTTGGAATAATTGAACTGTCAGCATTAATCATGTTCCAACAAAAACTGTTTCTCATGGGATTCTACATTTTGTTATATAATAGCCTTCAGACAAGTTTGTAGCAAATACCAATAAATTAAAATGGTCAGACGTTATGGGAGTCCAGCATGACCTACTTGAACTTTCTTCCTGAGTTGTTTTGTGATGTTTGCAATTTCAAGAAGACTTATTACAAGATGGAAAAGCTAAAACAAACTGAATAAAGCTACTGTCCCTGTGGGCACATCTGTGGGCCCAACCTGTTCCATAAAACATAATTGTTTCAGTTTATAACTTTGCATCTACTACCATATATAATAATAAAATTAGTGTACTGTACATGTCTTATCTCGTAAGGTATATTAATATATTTTATGAAAATGCCATTTCACCTACATCTCTTTCCACCTTCTGTTATTTTTTGTTGATCATTGTGTTAATACTGCTCTTAGTACCTTTTGCGCAGCATTCATCTTAATGCAGTGAATCTTGCTGTCTGACTGTTCAAGTGGGCTTTCATCTGATTTGTACTGGATATTGAGAGGAGTATAAAGGCTTCTATGTAAAAATCCTCAATATTGTCAATCAATCTATATTGCAAAGAACACAGTTGAAATTGGTTTAAAATGGCAAAAAAAAGTTGTATCTCTTTCCTCTGCTGCTATGTAGTTCAATTTGTGCCTATTCACTTTCTGTGCATTTAGAGGATATTCAATGTGGTACCACTCTGGTACACTGTAATGCTATCTCAAATCATTGTTTTAATTTATATTGGAAGACTTCCAGTATTGTGCAACATGTCCTACAATACTGACATTTTTGTTTTTAGTAATGCTTTGTTTATAAAGCTAAATAAATGGTGATGTTGGAAACGTATCTTTTTGGAATTATGAATAAAGTAATAAAGTGAAAAGAGTTGTTTTTGCAGCAGTAATGTTTTTTTTCCAGTCAAGAAATAAAAGGCCATTTGAGCCAGGCTGAATACGCAAAGGATTCTGGAAATCAAGAAAAGCAAGAACTTGTACAGACCTCACACCAGGAGCCTGTTTCTGAAGCAGGTATAATAACAAGAGTTAACTGCAAATGTGTGAAATCCTTACCAATTTGTGATGTGCTTTAATGCATAAGTGTTGCAATACACTTATCATTGTTTCATTAAAATGGTATTGACTGATTTATCTCTGTATTATCAGTCTTTGCTCCAGTTAAGAAAATGCCTTTAAAAATGCTTCAAATGAACTGAGCCCGAGCAGAGTGGGGAACAGGGAGGTAGGAGTTAGGTGATTGAAGGCACAGTCAGAAAGAGATTTTTCCAAGGGTTTTATATCCAAGAGGGAGTGTGCGAGGTAAAGAGAATTAGAGTGAGAATTCCAGAGAATGTGGCCAAAGTGGCTAAAAGCTTAGGTTGAAGGTTGAAGCAGACCTGAGGTTGGGGATTTAGAGGAGTAGGACTATGGGACATAGCGTGGAGCAGGGGTGGAGGCTTTTGAAAGTTAGAATGAGGATTTTACAGTTAGGGAGTCAGTGGAGTCTGGTGAAGATGGGTGGTTGGAGATTGGTATGGAAAAAGGTATGGGCTGCAGAGTTCGGGATGATATGGAGCTTGTGGAACTTTGAGCTGGGAAGGCTGCACGAAAGGCATTGGAGAAATTCAAATCTGGAAGGTGTGAATGTGTTTCTGCTGCATTGGGGTTAGATAGGGTGGAGATAGAGTAATATATAATAAAATAGTTTAAACTTTGACTTTGATTTCAAAATAGAGGCATGTTGTTATTAGATATCTCTTTCCCAGGGACAAACAGCAGCCTATTGGAAAAGATTGATGGGGAAGATCTTCCCACCAGTTTCCCTGTCATTCCGCCCAGACCTGTCAACACTATATTAAGTACAGAAAGAGCAAACTACAGATACCAAGAATTGCCAATTAGTAAACATAGGGAACAGGTAGGAACCGCCCGCTCCTCTTTTTGGTGACTATTCTTGTTATTTTGCCACCAAGGACGTTAATAATAATCCTTGCATTTGATATAAACCCATGATGAATAAGTGGGTCTAATTGGATGAAACCTTTCATGATGTAATCTGCATTTTGATTCACAACTCATTCCCTTTGGTCCATTTGATCTCATCCTTTCAAAATATCCGCCCGCCTGTTTTCCCGTTATAGCATCACTGATTAAAATCATGTAATAAAACAAAGTTAGCCACAAGGCAAAATAAAGTTTTGCAGGTCTGCAAACTAATCCTAAATTCATCCCAATAATTCTATGTTGAATTGGATGGTAACTGATTGCAAATAATATTGATTTGTTGTATGCTATTACACAAATTGAGTGACAATGGGTAATGCTGCCGTATAGTTGCTGATGCAATAAGGAAAAATATAAATGTATACTAAGCCAGTATAAGACGAGTAATTCACCAATATCTGATTACATAGAAGTAACTTTTGCAAATTTATGTGGAACATTTAACTTTTTTATGACTTTCGAAATCCTAAAAGCCCATTGTGTGGTGTAAGCACAGTGTAAGGGCGAAACGTTAGGGTCACTTTACAGTATATTCTGTGAAACACTTTGAGACATCTCAAAGATGTGATAAGGCGCTATATCAAATGCAAGCATCCAAGTAACCATAACTTATATAAATGATGTAATCATTACAGATAACTACGGAATAGCATGGGATTAATAATCTAGCCAGTGAATGTTGCTTTCAGATTTTACTTTAAAAATACTGTACATTCTGAAATTCAGCATGCCAACTCCATCTTGTGGCTGTTGTGTGCAAAGCAGTGGTAGGTTTGTGAATTGTGACAAATAATTCAAGTTCAAACAATATGCCACTAGTGTGCATTGAATATGTTATATACTGCTAGATTATTCTCCAGTTTGGTAGAGATTTCAACTATGTCTAAAAATCAGTTCCAGTAATGTGTAACTTTCAAGTTTATGCACATGAAGAAAAGTTTGTGTACATGACAATTAATTTGAGATTTTATTTTGTGTTTCCAGTTAGTTAATCTCATCGAAAACAATTCAGTAGTGATTGTGCGAGGGGTTACCGGCAGCGGTAAGAGTACGCAACTACCTCAATACATTTTAGACCACTACTGCAAAACCTCTTCCTACTGTAAGATTGTAGTAACGCAGCCACGGAAGATTGGAGCAATCAGCATTGCGCGCTGGATTTGTAGAGAACGTCGTTTGTCTTTAGGAGGATTGGTTGGGTATCAGGTACAGCGAAATGCACATTTGTACATATTACATTGTATTTTATGTTTTTTTTAAAAAAGCCTTCTGCTTAGAAAAAATCTTTGAAGCTTTATTCTGAGACTGATATACAAAAGATTGACTCATGTGTAAAAAGTATGATTTAAAAAAAAATCTGTCCTATGTTGTTTTTAGTGTCTGGCTATCCTTGAGTGAACAGTGATTTGTGAACCCCCACAACTTATACATTTGATATGAATTAATGCGTGTGATTTTTTTTGTTAATATCTGAAATGTTTGCAAATATCTAGTTTGATGATTGATTAGAAATGTGGATTTCATTCATTCTGTATCAGTCCAGCAGTATGGCATTTTTTAGCAAAATGATACCCGACTAGAGTGAAGGCAGACTGTGGAAGCAATTTTCATTCCATCCAATTCAGCTTGCCTTGCTAAGATTGTTTAAAAGCTACAGTTTATGTTGTATTTTAAATTTAGGTTCAATTTAGACACTAATTACATTATGGAATTAATGTTAAACAACTACAAATGTGGCCTCTTCTACGCATTGGATTGTTTCAGAAATTGATTATCCATACAGGAAAACAAACTTAAATGATTACTATTTTAAATGCTTAACTACTGTTGTGGTATTTTTAAAGACTGCTTTTATATTATAAAATATAGAAACTAGTTTGTCTCATTACATTTTGACTTGATACTGGCCATTTCTCATGTACAGCCATATGCATAGTGTAAGGTAATGATCTAGAAGCCTTTGGTGTGTCTTGTTTAGATACCATGGTCAATTATTTACAAATATTATCTTGATTAATTGATGTTTCTTTTTTTTGAATTAAGGTTGGTTTAGAAAAAGAAACTACCACGGATACACAACTATTTTATGTTACAACAGGGATTCTACTCCATAAAATTGTCAGTGCAAAGTGCCTGACTGAATTTACGCACATCTTCATTGATGAAGTAGGCTACTTCTCATGTTATTGACCCACTAGTAAAAGTTACTTACATTGGAATTCTGGGCAACAACAATTTACATCTGCATAGCACCTTTCACGTCGGGAGGATGTCCCAAGGGATTTAGACCTGAGCAGGAGGTTGAGCTCGGGAGAGGTGGAGGGCAGGGAGGATAGGGGTAGGAGGATGACCCAAGGTGCAGTCCAAAGATGAGGGTCTTGAGATGTGGCTTGAAGGAGCAAGGATTTCCTGTGATGGATTTCCAAAGGGTGGGGGCAGAGAGGCCGAAAGTCCGACTACCAATGGTGAGTTGGGCTGGGCGTGGGATATGGAGCAGCCTGCTGAGCGGAGTGAATGGACAAGTCTATATGTCGTTAGCTGGTCACACAGGTAAAGGGAGCAAGGCAATGGAGGGCTTTGAAGGCAAGGATGAGGATTTTGAACTCTATCCTCTGGGGGATGGGGATACAGTGGAGTCGGGTGAAGGTGGCGGTGATAGGGTCACAGAGCCTAGTTCGGGAAAGGACACGAGCTGCAGAGTTCTGAATGATCTGCAGCTTATGGAGGGAAGAGTTGGGAAGGCCAACAAGCAGGGAATTGATGTAATCAAGCCTAAATGTAACAAATGCATGGATGAGGGTCTTGGCCTGAGGAGAGTGGCAGTGGCAGACCCAGTTGATGTTGCGCAGATGGGGGAAGGCAGAATGAGTTATGGCACAGATGTGGGGTAGAAAGGACAGTTGAGGGTCAAACAAGAAACAAATTATATTATACCATTGTTCCTTTTTCCCTCTATGACTTTGGACTACCCTTTGTTTAAGATAAACTTTCCTGCACATATTTTGACATCTGTTTTAATCATACCTCATGGATGTACACTATGTGATAGGCAAAGTGACATCTGTTGTCTCCAACATTGAACCATGCTGACCTGTCTGCTAGCAGAAGGTAATTACTTTTGTGCCTACCTATTTTTCCCCTTTGTAGGTCCACGAACGTACAGAAGAAATGGATTTTTTGTTGCTCGTTGTCCGCAAACTTCTGCGTACAAATTCAAGATTTATTAAGGTGAATAGCAGATGCGTTTTAAGCATGTATTTTACTAATGAGATAAATTTCTGTCATTACTTTAATCTGCACTATTTAATTCAAAAGCATAGGACATTATTATGTTGCAGTCAGTGTGCATGTTATAAATGGAATGACTGAGAAGCTATAAGTCTCAGAAGACAGCAAGATGGTTGTTGTGGGAAAATGTTCTCATATTGGTCGCTAAGGGGTGCTATTCTAAAATTAGATTGAAGCAGATGAAGATAATTTCTAATATGGATCTAACTGCTAAACATAATTTGAGAATGCTTGTGACTGATAACTGAATGCTAGAATTGTATTTCCCAACCTGACATTCTTTCCGTTTACCGGAAATCTAACTTGGGTAAAACTTCAAATCACTTCCTGCACAACATTTTATGAATTGGTTAGAAAAAATATTCAACACTTAGTACTCAATAGCATATGTAAAGTAAAGGACTTGCATTACATCGCCCATTATGTTGAAATGTCTCAAAGTGCTTCACAAACAAATGCTGTTAAGTGGTCTCCAACCTATACTGTACCGTTCTGTCAGGTGAAGAGGGCTGCTAGGATAGTAAGTTGTATAGTGATGAAAAAGTAAGAGCTTTGCTTACAAATACAGACATGACACTTTACAGTAACATCTTGTGATGCGCTTTGAGATGTTTGGATAGTGTAAACAGGCACTATATCAAATGCAAAGTTAATTATTTTATGTATAGGTTCTCAATTTAGTTTCTGATTTGAAGTGGCCTTGAAAGTTATTAATTCTCAAATTGTCATAGGTAATCCTGATGTCCGCGACAATCAATTGTGAGGAATTTGCAGATTACTTTGCAGTACCATTCCGAAACAGTTTTACCCCTGCTTATATATTTGAGGTGGATGGAGCCCCACATAATGTTGAAGAATATTATCTTGATGATCTCAAAAGACTTGCTCGTTTCCAGGTATGGTTGGAAAAAAGAACTTTTCAATAAAGGGAATATATTTTCTTTTTCGATTGGTATATTTAATATTGCAGCACATGCAGTGCTTAGTTTTGTTTTCTGATCGTTTTAGGAATAGATTTACAACTTTATCGCTCTATAGATACATTGGGTAGGCACATAATATGCAGACAGATCTGAGCATCACTTATCCTTTTCTGCATTTCATAGAGTTTGATTTGAATTCACTTCACTCCTTGAAGTTTTAGGGTATCTCCTAGAAAGTGCTGATACTTAATGGTAATGAGAATTTACTATGAGCTGATTAGTGATTAGGAGAGCTCGGGTGGTTTGTTTACAGACAGTTGAGGTGATTTTTTTTCCTTTACTCAATTCAAGATTTGACATGGGTAATGGACAATAATTCTTGCTGCATTCATACCATTAATTTATGTTATGGAAAAGTTGGGGAAATAATGGCAACACCAATAGAGCTTTGATATTTTGGGGATATGAATGGTTATGGATTGGGTAATGAAAGATGGATAATCTGAGGCACTTAAATTGCTCTATTTTGGTACTCTTCTATTGAATCTGTTTTTTCACATAATCCTAGGTACCACCTTTGTTTTCTAATGAGCCAGTAATCAGCTCAGAGATTTATAAAATAGCTGAGGTGCTGATCCTAAACTTTGATGAGATGGAAAATAAAGAACAAGGGTAAGTGACCTGCAAGACATAATTGAAGTGCTTGAAAAGATCAACTGCTTTATTTTGGACAATTAAATGCATACCTATTCATACAGCATTACATATAACATTCCTCAGAAAACAAATTGTTTAGATATAAAACTTTGTATGAAATATTTAATCTTGAATTTGATTATTTCTATTGCAATAGATTATCAGGATTGCCTTTGGATTGTGGCAGTGTCTTAATATTTTTACCAGGTAATCTTTAAAAGTTACGTAGAACTATTTCAAAAAAGAGATCTGATTAATCATAGCAATGTTCAACTTAACTCTACTTTTTTCCAAAGCTACTATAAATTTTCAGTTAGTTGAAGTGAAACTAATTTATGTAATCTCAATCTTGACCCTATCTGGTTTCCTGGTTTAGATAAATCTTAGGTCAAAGTGAGTAAACCATAGAATTGCCAATATCGTTGGTACTAATTTGAGGGGTTATTTAGAGGGGATGACTTGTGTGAATAATGAAATGTGTAAGGCGGAGAAGGGCCTTTTTTAAAGTTGATCTTAAATTTATGCCAGATTAACAATTATAGTAGATTATGATTTTTGTTTTATGAACTTTATCTTTTCCTATGTCCTGCCAGTGAATACAATCTGCCAGCAGAAATTGTTCTTAATAGCTAGGAAGGCATTTAAAAATAGAATTTGCATGTTTCAGGTCTGGAAAGAACAAGATGTCTTGTTCATCTTCTAAAAGTAGAGAACCCCATGGTGCCAAATTGCCTGAGCAATCATTTATAATTTGTAAAGCTTGGCCTAATACTATCTACAATCACTTTCAAGTGGTTTTTTTTCTTTCGACTTCTGATACAAGGTCATATATTCATACTTTAATATAAAAATGAGAATTTGAACGCATTGGAGTCTGTAGCTCAGTGGTTAGAGCACTCGCCTTGCAAGTGAGAGACCTGGGTTCTATTCCCGGCAATGCAAAATGTTGTGAAAGTTTCCTTACTCTACATGTGCCTGTTTACCGAGCAGTATGTAGGAACCCGGTTGTTAGTCGATTGGCCGATCGCATTTCCGGTGATGATAATAATAATACCAAACAAAAATAATAATAATTTGGTCAGTCAGTACGCGACTGTTTGTGGGACACTGCTGTGCGCAATTGGCTGCCGCGTTTCGCCCACAAATATACTGTCAATTCACTTTACAGTGAATTTTACAGTCTAGAAGACGTGAAAGGCGCTATATCAAATGCAAGGATTATTATTATATGTTTGCCTGCAAATAGTCATTGCCCTTGACGACAATTACTTGTGAAGAACTTTGAGACACTTCAGCATTACCGGTGGCATATCATATCCAAAGATGATGATATTGGAAAAGTATTCTGAATTTTTCTCCCCTTTATAAATCTGATCTACCTTTTTTATGTCTGAAAAATTCTTATTGCATGTGGAAGCAAATCTCTCTTTCTCTATAGGTATTGCAGAAATAAATTACATGCATGACGTTTTTACATCTATGGTTCAAAAGAGGTAAGAGACAAGTTATTGTCATTTTTTGTAGTGAATAGAATGATGTCAATTTGAAATTCTTCACTTACTATGAGTGTAGCAAAGAAGCACTCTACTTGTGTGTCAGCCTAGCTTAGTTGGTAGCACTTCTGAATCTGAACCAGAAGGTTGTGGATTCAAGCACTACACTGGGACTAGGTTAACACTCCCAATGCAATGTGGTGAGAGTGCTGTGTTGTTGGAGGTGCCATCCTTCAGATGAGATGTTAAAACAAGGTTCTGTGCCTGTCCAGGTGGACATTAAAGATTTTGTGGTACTATTTGAAAAGAGAACTTAGTGTTCCTCCCGATGTGCTGGCCAGCTATCCTACAAATAAAATTGGTCATTTGTTTCATAGCTGTTTGTGGGACATCCAAACTAAGCTGCGATTTCCATGCATCCCACCTACACATGGAAATCCCAGAGATAGATAGTTGGAATGCAATGCGAACTCTCTCCCTCATGTGTAGGTTGGCAAGAACCAAGGCTTGGGCACCTCGGAGTGTGCGTTGGGGTACTGCTGGAGTCTAACCTGCTAAATAGCTTGCCATTGATATAGTTGTCTGGAAAGCTCTCCCACTGCATATCCAGCTAGGACCACCCTACCAGTTAGGGCTTTGGCTTGCAGAGTTAATGGGAGCTGAGTGGGATGATTCCTTGCCAGCAGTGACTGGTCTGCCCTTTCAAATCCTGCTGATAAGCCAAGCTGACTGTGTTGTCATCAGCAGTGGCTCTCAGTGCCTTGTTAAGGGGAAGGTTAAGAGACCTCCGTATATTGGCTTAGTCATTGCTTACAAAATCAAAACAAATTGTTCAGACAATCTTACAACAGGAATAGACTAAAGTGATCCCTCCACTCATTTTTCATTCCACATTTTTCATTTGTATTAAATCTGAGAGATTTTTGTTCGAGAAAATATTCATATGTATGTTATAATTAAAATTCTCAGACTTAGTTATTCTGATTGGTAGGCTTCATGTATACCCTCTACACTCAAGTGTGACCTTGGAAGAACAGAATGATGCATTCCTGACCCCTGTACCTGGCTACAGAAAGGTAAGGAACAACACAACCTTGAAAAGTGTATAGTATTAGGGTTTTTTGTAGTGTGATTCCATTGGATTTGTGATTAATTGACAATTAGAACAATTATTTCTTAATTTTGGTTAACTGTACTGTTTGCAGAAATGACCAGGTGTTAATTATTTTCAATAGTAAGTAACCGAAGTAAGCAGAGAAACAAAATTATAATGGTGTCAAGAGATATTTCCTAAAATTATGTTATTTGCTTGTCTTTTGTAAGAAACGTGAATGCTTATCCCTTTAGTTTGTGACTTTTAATTTCTTTCATGAAACTTTGCCTTCCCTGCAGGTTACTGCACCTCTCGTAATATGTAAATGGTCATTTAATGTTGCACGCTAACCCAATATTTTATAATCTTCAATAGATTATTCTGTCAACCAATATTGCTGAGAGCTCTATTACTGTTCCAGATGTCAAATATGGTAAGTCCTGATTGCTGTATTGTTTTAATACAAGATTTATATTATTCACAGCTAAAAGTCTGCACTGTTTAGGTAAAATATGCAAGAAAGCATTTTTAAAAAATCGTTTTTCGAATATTTAAAAATAAAGAAAATAAACTTGCAACCTTACAATAAAGGATCAAATAAACAATCAAATTGTATTTATATAACGCCTTTTACATTGGAAGGAGATACCAAGGCACTCTACGGTCAAGGGTTTGCCCCCAACTTGGGGGCTGGATTTAGGAGGTTGGGGCAGAGGGATTGGGGTGGGAAGATGACCAAATGTACTGTCAAAGAGGAAGATATGAGATGGATTGTGAAGGAGGCAAGGGAAGAGACAAGGCGAAGGTACTCAGGCATGGAGTTTCAGAAAGTGGGGGCAGAAAGGCTGAGGGCCTGACTGCTGATAGTGGGGCAGGCACATGAAGCGGTCCAGAGCCTGCAAAGCGGAGGGAGCCGGCTGGTAAACTGTTTCATGGTCACTTAGGTCAGGTGGTGCAAAACCAAAGAAGGATTTAAAAAAGATGACCAGAATCTTGAACTCTATCCTCTGGGGAGCTTGGGAGCCAACAGAGCTGGACATGGGTGCAGGAGAGGATACAAGCTACAGAGATCTGAATGGTCAGCAGCTTGTGGAGGGAAGAGTTGGAAAATCCGACGGTGGGGAAGACGAGTTGTTGGCAGATACAAAAAACTGAAATAAAACCATGATTTTAGTAGTTATGTTTTTGTTCTAAATTTGCAACAACTTGCATGTATATAGCACTCTTCATGCAGGTAACGTCTTTGAGTGCTTGTAATTAGAAATAACCTTAAGAATTAAACCTGCAAGCATTAATTGCCGCATTTTTGTGGTCATAATTGTGTTAAGTAATGTCATTAGTGTTATTTGCATTGAATTTTGGTTTATTCAACATTGTAAGTGTTAATCTTTGATCCAATGTGGCAGTGATAGACTTTTGCTTGACTCGTAACTTGGTCTGTGATGACGACACAAACTACCAGAGCCTTCGTCTTAGCTGGGCTTCCAAGGCGAGCTGCATTCAGAGGAAAGGTGAGATTTTAGTGTATTTTAACTTTACCATACATTTTTGAAGTAAATATATTATTCGGCCTGAAGTCTTGAGCCTATTTTTGGCAGATGAATGGCATTTAAATTACGTAAAAATGCAAACAGTGCCTTTTTGTCTCATTGCAGAACTATATACTTTTGCTAACTCAAAGTGCTTCAGTCAGCACAGTACATTGTTCTGCAATAAAAAAGTGCAAGGTTTGCATTTTTAAAATTATGCCACAACGTGTCCACAAGTTGTGCATTATATCAGCCCACCCGCCCCACCGTTGGCGGGAGAGTCTTCAGCCACTCTGCCCCCAACCTCTGGAATTCCATCCATCAATCACTCTTCCTTGCCCCTTCCTTAGCCTCCTTCAAGTCCCTCCTCAAAACCTTCCTCTTCGACCATGCCATCGGTCACTTCCCCCCCCCCCCCTCCCTCCCTGACCCCAGCTTGCGTCTGAAATGCTGTACACTTTGGGACGTCTAGAAGACGTGAAAAGCACTATATCAAATGCAAGTATTATTATTACACTGTCCAGCGCCTTGGGATGTCCTCCCGACTTGAAACATGCTATACAAATGTAATGTTTTTTACCCCCTTAAAGCTAGATCAAAACTTAAACTTATACCGTTAGCTAAGTTTCAACTTAGAGAAATTACATTGTTTCCACTTTGAAAACAAATATTATTTACACTTGAAATAGGTCGTGCTGGACGCATTTCAAAAGGGTATTGTTATCGACTGGTGACAAAAGATTTCTGGACCCACTGCATTCCTGATCATGCAGTACCTGAGATGCAGGTAAATCCCTCTTTTGTATGGGGAAACCCTTCATCTTGCTTTATGCTGCACAATGTAAACTTAAAATAAATGGGGCAAATTCTTTAAATTTTCATCCAATAAAGTTTGTGTTTTGTATGCCAGACTACAACAACAACAGACTATATACACTAAAGAAAATTACTTAATGATTGCGGATTGGTCATCTTCTAGAAATATAGTGTTGGTTCTTTTTGTTGAAATTGTAAACTAAATGCATTTGTGGCATTGAGGAAATAATAATAATAATAATCCTTGCATTTGTTATAGTGCCTTATCACATCTTTGAGACATCTCAAAGCGCTTCACAGAATACACTGTAAAGTGGATTGACTATATTTTGTGGCCAAAAATAGTTTTTTCAATACCTTTTTGAATGTTTTAGCGCTGCCCATTGGGAAGTACTGTCCTTAAAACCAAACTGCTCGATATGGGAGAGCCAAGAGCTTTGCTGGCATCTGCTTTATCTCCCCCCAATCTGAGGGACATTGAACGAACTGTCGTCCTGCTGAAAGAGGTGAGCTGCTGGTGGGGCCCTGGGTCTGATTTTTTTTCAGTAGATCTCAAAATGACAGTATTACAAATTTTGCACAAACTACTTCATTGCAGTTCATTCGAACAAGTCATTTTTACTTTTTTCTACTTCAAGGTTGGAGCACTTTCGATAGGAATTAAAGAAATAGAAAATCCATATGATGGTGATTTAACTTTCCTCGGAAGGGTACTGGCACATTTACCTGTGAATTTGCAATTAGGAAAACTTGTTGTGCTGGGTCATGTCTTTGGCTGCCTAGAAGAGTGCCTAATTATTGGTAAGAACGTTGCAATAGATTATAGTTACAAAACTATTCAGCACCTTGGAACGTCCTCCTAATCTGAAAGGCGCTTTACAAATGTAATTTTGTTGTTAATAGATTTATTCAACTGTACTCAAATGTTTTTGAAAAAAATCAAAGATACAGATGTAAAAGTTTTCCAAAACTGATTTGAATGAACAATATTTCTCTTTGTAGCTGCTGCTCTTTCACTGAAAAACATTTTTGCAATGCCTTTCAAACAGCACCTAGAAGGATACCGGTAAAGTTGAATTTTACATATTTTCAATAAACATAAAATTTTATTAAAGGTGAATGCTATTGTTGCAAAATATCTATATACTGTATTTCTACTCGCATGATATATTCCTACTATAATATTGTTCATGCAGTGTTTGTTCATTTGTCACAATTTTAAGATGCATAAGACTATTATTGCATGCTGTGACTTCAAATCCAAATTCACTTGAACAGATTGAATATAGAATTAATAAATAAGGTCAATGCCAAAAGAAAAAACAAGTATAAATAGCCAACAACTTTGAGTTGCTTTATCTTCTCGCTTTCATCTGAATTGGTGGGAGGTACTCAAGAAGGTATTCTTTCTTATGTTCTGAAGGTGTAATGATGAGTTTCTGCATAATAGTAGTTTACAACTTATAGAAAAAAACGATTACCCTTTCAAAACGTGATTGTGTTTAAGTTTTTACTGACTTATAAAACAATCCACTCCCCTAATTCTGAGTTGAGAACTGGTTGTAAATTTAAAGTGTAGTGCAGTTGTAATTTTGGAATAATCTGTTGAATTATTGTTTTTTCCTAACACTTATGATTTACATCCAGGAACAAAATGGAGTTTTCAGGTGGAACATTAAGTGATTGCATAGCAATTGTGAATGCATTCAAGGTAACAAAATATCTTTCAAAAATTGTTTTCAGCTTCACAGGATTTTTCTGTGATCCACTCTAATTCCAGTTTAATTGAAATTTGTACTTCAACTAAAAGTGAATAATGAATAACTTGTATTGCTTCCTCATTGCCAATCTTGATACATTTTCATTTTTGATTATTTAAAAAAAAACTTTCCAATTCTCTGGTTTGATGGTGGTGACACAGTAAAGCTTTAGGAATGCCAACAGCTTACTTTATACTTATAAAGTGGACATTCATCTGTCGGTTCAGACAAGAAACATTGGCAGAATATTGAATTGTGGGAACATCACATCTTAAATTCATTATTAAATTGAAAACTGGCTCCTTTTAAGAACTGTAAAAAACTGACTTCTAAACTAAGACNTTTTTTTGCACAATTCCACTCAATCATAAATTTTAAGGAAAAACATTCTTGCAAGCTAAAAGTAAATAAGTAAATTGGAAGTAGGGTGAATCACAGAAAAATCCTGTAAAGCTCATTGTGATTATAACAACGTCATAAGATGCTATATTAAATGCAAGGAATCTTCATTATCGTACTTGCAAGTAATTCTTGTTATTTGACTTTGATGGCAAGTGGAAATTGTAGTCCTCAGAAGCCAAGCATATAGCAAAACGAATGATTTAGTGAGTGTTTCAGAATGTGAATAAATTTATAATTTGAAAAAATAGAAGGTAGACTTAACGGTACAACTTATTACAGTGGGTTAATATGATTGATTTGTGTATTTGTTTCATAGACTTGGCGTACTTGCAGAGAACAAGGACAACTGAGATTTCCAAGGGTTCGTGAATATTTGTTTTCTGTCTTTTTTAAAATATTAGACGCTGCAGTCAATTTTGTGAAAGATGTTTTACTTGGTATACTTGTATGAGAGTTCTTTTATGTATTAATTTAGTTTGTTGTGACACAGGTTGAGTTAGACTGGGGGAAATCCAATTACATCCAGATCAAAAGGATAAAAGAGGTGAGCTTCATGTTATAGAGTTAAATCAAGTTGTCAGTTAAACTTTAGTTAATGTTTGCTGGCTTTACTAGTGTGGTTAAGGTGAAATTTGTTGAGAAATGCATATTTGCAGCCCTGCATAATAATTAACACTGTTCATGTAACTTTCGGTACTGTAAGCAAGTTGCTAACAGAAAGTTGCTACTGAAGCTATTAGACTGGTGCTAAGTCCTATTTTTCCTCTGTAAAGAATTGATGAAACATGTATTTGAAAAGGTAATTTCAGCTTTACTTCCAATGGCTATCATCAATATAGCCATATTTATAATAGGCATTGGAATGTAAAGCTGAAATCCCCTGAAATTGAACATTGTACATCAGTTACAGGGATGCGAAGGAAGGATCACAAGTCATTTTTGGAAGTTTCTTCTTGAAGTTAGATCAGCTGCGAAAGGGAATATGACAATCTTGCATTGCAGTCGACTTTATTACAGCAGTGGGTATGAATGGGAAATGATTTGGTACAATGAAGAAATGAGTCGCGTTTGAAATGGGTTGATGTGAAGTTAATTGCTCTGTAGATTGTACCTTGTTCACAATAAGTCCACATTGTAATTGACTGCCCTCTATGTGTGCATTTCAGGTGGCACAACTATATGAGGAACTGAAAGATCGTATACAGAAATTTGATATGTTTGTTGACCATCATTCTAGGTGCATGGATGAAGAGTATGTTCACAAGCAAAGGTTTATTCTGCAGGTACTGACTTTCTTTTAATGGCATGTAAATGCATACATGCAGTATGGTTTATCCACACCTTTTTTTGTATGATTGCCATGCCTGTTTATAGTTGTGTGGGTAAATTCACAGAACTAAATTTTGAGGTTAGATGGCACTATTATAATTTATTACTATATTGATATTGAAATACAAATATTTTCATAGGTTGTGCTTGCTGGAGCCTTTTACCCCAACTATTTCACATTTTGTCCACTCTCTGAAGAAACTGCTGTAAAAGAATTGTCTGGAAAATATGCGAATGCTACTGTGGTGGTACGTAGTTTGGAAGGTAGTAATTGCTTCTATTTTGTTAGCATCATAAAAATATTAGATTGGTTCTGATGTTGAATATTAAAATTTTTGTTTCAGATGCGGAACATTCCACCTTATGGATTTCTGTATTACAAACAGCTGCAATCCCTGTTCAGACAGTGTGGTCAGGTCAAGGCCATCTCATTTGATGGATCAAAGTAAGTTGCAATTAACGTGCTGATAACGTCAGTAAAACTAGGTTTTGATGATTTTTAACTTGTCGAACATACGTTTTTGAAAAATTAGTTAAGTAATAATTTTAATCACCATTTTATGAATTATGTTTTATTTCATATTAAGGAAACTATTATACAGCAAAATACCAAGATTTTGATAGTGGATGCAAACTGAGATTGTACGAAGAAAGGTGAAAACAAAATAAAATATTGCAATAAGAACTTTGAGGCAAACCAGTTTTGAGATCCAAGATAACAATTACTATTTGGTAGGCATAGGTTTGTCTTACCTAACATGTTGACAACAGATTAACCTTGGGAAGTAGACCTTCAGTTTAGGATGCATGTAAAACTAGAATATGGAATTTAGACTTTTCTACAAACAGACAATTTGAGTGATTTTGAACGTGGTGGTGTGATTTTATATTATAATTTTCCATGTTATGATTTTCTTTGTTTTTCACAAATAGATGCTTTGTTGAGTTTGTGCAAAATCCAATAAAGAGAACTGGGATCCATCCTGCAGTGTATATGGCACTCAAGATGGCCCAGCTTCATATCCCCTTACAGTTAAATGTTCATCCAGTGGAGGAGATTGAAGCACTGAGCCAAGGACAGTCTTATGCAGGTTTACACAGACCAAGGTATCTTATTTATACAATACTAGTTGTACCCGTTGCAGCTGTGCTTACAACCAAAGGATCCAATATGGAATATAGATCTACACACAGACAGACATTTCATCTTTAGACTCCTTTTGGGAGGACTGCTTGGTGCTTTAAAAATGCTTAACGCATGAATGATAGGTGATACCTGAAAACAAATATTCCCATGTCAATCCAAGATGCAAGATCTTTCCAATGAGGTATAAATCATGTCTCTATGTCAATCGGTTATTGAGATCCTTGAAGCACAAACAGACAGTGTTGTTTTATTGATATAGAAGATAGATTATATATAGAGAGAAGATGGTAATCAATACATTTTGTATCAAAGAAAGTTAGCAGTAACTTTGTGATCTAAACATAAGTCTGTTTACTTATTGGCCAATAAAGGTGCTGTTTGTAAAGTAATGTGACTGCATTACAGGATGTGGTCTGTATCAACAACATTTGTTTCGCGCCTTTCATGTCGGGAGACAAGGCACTGGACAGTCAGGGATTTGGACCCGAACTTGGGATGGGATCAAGAGAGGTGGAGGGCAGGGAGGGTAGAGGCAGAATGGTGACCCAAGGCACGGTCGAAGAGGAGGGTCTTGAGATGTGTCGTAGAGTCCTGTAGCTCAGTGGTTAGAGCACTCGCCTCACAAGCGAGAGAGTTGGGTTTGATTCCTGGCAGGGTGAAACCTTGGTCAAGTTTCTTTACTTCACACTCCTGTTAATAATCCCTTAATAAAAAATATTATTTGGTCACTTCAATCCATGACTGTTTGTGGGACACTGCTGTGCGCAATTGGCTGCCGTGTTTTGCCCACAAAAATGCAGTCAATTCACTTTACAGTATATCCTGTGAAGCCCTTTGAGACGTCTGGAAGACATGAAAAGCGCTATATCAAATTCAAGGATTATTATTGTAGGAGGCAAGGAAGGGGTCAAGGGGAAGAGACTGGGATGGAGTTCACGGTTTATGGAGGGAAGAGTTAGGGGTGCTTACAAGCAGGGAGGATCCTGGTGGGCTGAGGTGAGAGGCAGTGGTGGAACCAGGTGATGTGGAGGTGGGGTAAGACAAGAGGGCATGGATGTGGGATCAACAATGACCATGTGTAATTAATTCATAATTGTAATTGAATATTGATCAACTATTAATGTTGGCAGTGGTATATCGTTCAATCTAATCATAAAAGAGATGGTGAAACCAAGATACAAGGTACTCAGTATGTTAATAAGCTCAATCGTTCTATGGAGACCTCAGTGAGAGTAAAGATAGTCACATTTATATACTATAAATTTATCACAAATAGGCCATAAATTTAAAACTGTGTTTGTCACAGATAAAGCTATCATGTTTTTAACAATGATCACCTAAATGCCTTTCTATAGAGTTATTAGTAAAAATACACCCTACTTTTTGTCGACAATGAAGATTAAGTTATTAGGAGAATACTTGCGGTTTCTGTTATATCATCACAATTGATGTCTTACTCTAGTCATGTACAGTAGCATATCAAACTAGGAGGACTGGGGCACAAATCTGACTCCTGTTCCATAATACAAAATGGTTTGGGGAGTTTAGATTATTGGATTCACCTGTAACTACCTCAAACTAATACCATAAACTGACTTCTTTTTTTTATTGTTGTAGGTTGTATGTAGACTATCAAAATTGGACAGTTAAGCTGATGTCAGAGGAAATGTCGAGAGGTCTTTTGGAGTTGCCTTGTGATCCTATCCCATGTTTTTTCACCATGAATGTTACTGAAGTAATGTGAATATTTGAATAGTAAACTTAAGTTTTTGTTATTGTTGAAATATAATCACCTTTGTACCTGGTGCTTCAGCCTATTTCCCATGCTTACTGAATTCCTGAAGATGAATTAGGCTTCATGGCAGTGAGTTCGATGCTAACATACACTGATTGCTCTCAGCTGCAACATGTTGCATTTTTTTTGTATCGCTATTCTTAATCATAGTGAATACTGTAGTTTCACTCCTTCGCTGAAATTGCACAAGTCAGTAAACTTTGGAAATCTCTTCCTCAATCCCTCTGCCTTGCCCCCTAGTCCCCCATTTTCAGATCATGCCTGAAGACCTTCCTCTTCAACCATTCTTACGGTCACGTCCCCCCTGTTTGGTGTCAGTCTGTTAAGCGCTCTGAGTTGCTACCTCACATGAATCATGCTATATAAATGCAAGTTGTTATTGTCATTATTAAGCAGCGAGCTAGCAGCTACACAAGTAATGCCCAAACAAATTTATTTTCCTTTCAGGTTGTTGAAGTTGGACACTTCTGGGGTTACAGAACAGATGGAGAAAGCTTACACACACTGAGCAAACTGATGACTGAAATTAACCAGATGAAGCTTACCCCCCTAGCTGTGGAACCATATCCTGATGTTTGTCTAGCACCATTCACAGATTGTAGCGAAACCCATTATTACAGGGCCAAAGTTTTACAAGTCTCTGGGGATTCTGCAGAGGTAGGAGTTTAGCTTTAAGAGTTGATTGTTTTCCCTTTTGCTCCATGAAATATTACTTTGTCGGAAAGATTGTATAGATATACATGGGATTTTATATCAAATAGACTTTTTGTGAGGGGAGGGTATTTTTTAAATCTACAGTAACGTTCATATGTAAATAATGAATCGTTTGTGAGTTCAATAACTTAATATCCATAAAATGTGTACAACTTTATCTGTACAAAATTAATGTGTGGTATGAATGGAATTTTCATTTGGCTATGTTTTGCAGCATAAAGCAGTATGCCCACAAAATTACGTGTATGGTACTTATATATTGCTGTACTAGAACAGTGGAAAGTGGAACCAAAGATGCTCTTCAGTGGAAATGCAACCCGGATGTGGTATTAACAGATATCGTACACAACCTCTTGCATTTGTTTGTTCAGCACATGCAAGTGGAAAATTGGCATCATGAGTCCTGTAGCTTAATGCTTAGCGCGCACGCCTTGCAAGTGAGAGAAACTGGGTTTGATTCCTGGGCAGGGTAAAACTTTGGGCAAGTTTCCTTATTCTACATGGCGCTGTTTACCTAGCAGTAAGTAGGAACCTGGTTGTTAGTGGTTTAGCACATCACTTTTCCGGGGGTAAAAATCCCTTTTTTAAAAAAAAGTAATGATTTGGTCACTCAATCCATGGCTGTTTACCTTAGAATACATTAGAATATACAGCACAGTCCATTCGGCCCAACTGGTCGATTCTGGTGTTCATGCTCCACATGAGCCTCCTCCTGCCTTCCTCAACTAAGCCTTCAAGCATAACCTTCTATTCCTTTCTCCCTCATGTACCTATCTAGCTTCCCCTTAAATACATCTATGCTATTTGTCTCAACAGCTTGTGGTAGCATGTTCCACATTCCCACTATCTGTAAAGAAATTTCGTAAGTTCTATTTGTGACTATTTTATATTGATGACCCCTGGTCTTGGTCTACCCCACAAGTGGAAACATCTTCCCTATGTCTACCCTATCAAAACCTTTCATAATTTTAAGGACATCTATCAGGTCACCCCTTACTCTCCTCGTTTCAAGAGAAGAGTCCAAGCTTGTTCAGCCTTTCCTGATGGGTATAACCTCTCAGTTCTGGGATCATCCCTGTGAATCTCCTTTGCACCCTCTCCAATGCCTCTACATCCCTTCTATAATGTGGGGACACAATATTATACAATATACTCCACACAATATTCTAAGTGTGGTCTAACCTAGGTTCTATAGAAGTTTACCATAACTTCCCTGCTTTTCATTTCTATCCCTCTAGAAATGAACCTCAATGCCTAGTTTGCTTTTTTATGGTCTTATTAACCTGCATTGCTACTTTTAGTGAATTGTGTATGTGTGCCCCAGATCCCTTTGCTCCTCTACCCCATTTAGTTTTTTTATTTTCCAGGATGTATGTGACTTTCTTATTCCTTCTACCAAAGTGTGCCACCTCAAACTTTTCTACATTGAAATACTTCTGCCATTTAAATGCCTATTCAGCAAATTTATTAATGTCTTGCTGTAATTTGTTGCAGTCCTCCTCTGTATTAACTACTCCTCTAATTTGGTGGCATCTGCAAATTTTGAAATTGTACTGCTGATTCCTGAGTCCAAATCATTAATGTATATTGTGGACAACAGTGGTTCCAATACCGATCCTTATGGAAAACCACTGCCCACCCTCTGCCAGTCTGAGTAGCTACCCTTTACTCCTATTTTCTGTTGTGCAGCCAGCTTGCTATCCATTCTGCTATTTTTCCCTTGACTCCCACATGCTCTGACCTTATTCATTAGTCTATTATGTGGTACCTTATCGAACGCCTTTTGGAAATCTAAATATATTACATCTACCGCATTACCTTTGTCTACTCTTTCTGTTACACCTTCAAAGAATTCAGTTAGGTTGGTCAAGAATGATCTTCCTTTTTGAAATCCGTGCTGACTATTTTTTATTATGTTTTCCATTTCTAGATGTTTTTCTATTACCTCCTTCAGTAAGGATTCCATTATCTTGCCTACCACCGAGGTTAAGCTGACAGGTCTATATTCCCTGGGCTTGTTCTATCTCCATTTTTAAATATAGATATAACATTAGCTATCCTCCTTGTGCTTGTGGGACACTGCTGTGTGCAGTTGGTTGCTGCGTTTCGCCCACAAAATAGTCAATTCACTTACAGTATATCCTGTGAAGCGCTTTGAGACGTCTTGAAGAAGTGATAAGGCGCTATATCAAATGCAAGAATTATTATTATGATCTATGCACATGAACAAGAGCTTTGAAAGCTTTATGCTGACCAATACCAAGATAGATGTAGCGAAGACCGAGAGAGGTGATTTGAGTATCAGACCACTTTGCCTCTGGATATTTACTTGCTTGTCCTACCCATGTGACTGACCATTTTCTTTTACAGGTATTCTTTGTGGATTATGGAAACACAGCACAAGTTCCTAGTCATCTACTGAGAAACATTTCTTCTCAATTTCTGGAGCTTCCTTTTCAGGTGTGAAAACCACAGCATAAAATGTCTTCTATTCAGAACAAAACTGAAACTAGGATTTCAAACTGAGGACTGGTTCTTTTTATAAATTTGTTGAATTTAGGTTTTTGAATTGTCTTAATATACATTGTTTTGAAAGCGGTTGGATGTGGAATAAGATTTGGAAATAAATAGGATGGGGATTCTTATTTTAGTGCAGTTATTTGTGACCCAAAGTGATAGCTGACAACAGCTGTGTGAGTGATTTCCACCTAACCTTTTTGGTTTCCTGTGGTGTGATTCTAGCAGTACACATAATTTAATAACTAGCAGACGTTTGGTAAAGCGATAATGGTGACATACAATGGAGAATAATTTGTATATCCATTTGAATTCACAGTACTGTGATACATCTTTGGAATGTTACAATTATATGTGCTACTTTGCCAGGAAGCTGAATCTGATATTAAATTATCTAGATTCTTTGCAATAATGTAAATCGGACAGTGTACTTTTTTCCAAGAAAGTGACTTCTGAAATATAATTTCACAAATGGAAATGTGTGTCTTGATGTGGTTTAATTTATTTAAATGAGACAGAGAATACAGATCAACTATTGTATTCCCATACTATGGGAGCCAAACCTGAGAATGATCTGTTCAAATGTTAATTAAGCTATTCTAGCATGCTTAAAGACGCTAAGGAAACTGCTTTTTAATGTTTATAATTTTTAACCCTTTTTGAGAAGTCTATTGCATTTTAATAGTATTAGATTTATTTATTTTGTATTTAGGCCCTCCAGTGCCAGATCTGCTGCATGCGGCCATCTGCACATTCTCTGATTTCTGGGGATCAGTGGAGTGCCAAAGCCAAGAAAAGATTCATCTCCCTGGTGAAGGATTGTGTACTCCTTGTGAAAGTTTTCTCCACTGTGCACTGCACTTTGCGTGTGGACCTCAGTATACAGACTTCAAAGGGAGACCGTAATGTACGAGAAGTGCTAATCAGTGAAGGCTTTGCTGAACCAGCCGAGGAGTCTTATGAATCGAAGGTCTGATGATTGTTAATGTTTCAGCTGAGTATTAACAACTAATATTTACATTTTAAACTCTAACATGGGAAATATCCCAGAAGTACTGTGTTCAGTTCTACTTGCTGACAGTTAAAGGGTCACTTAAGCTTTAAAGGTATTGCCAAGAAGAGCAACAAGATTAATTCTCACTATTAGTCACAGGAGCCCATTCTACCAGTGAACAACAAAATTACATTTGTATAGCGCCTTTCACGTCAGGAGGATGTCCCAAGGTGCTGGACAGACGAGAGTTTCAGACTTGACCTGGGGGTCGGGAAGGGCGGTGGGGAAGCGGGGTGATCGAAAGCACGATCGAAGAGGAGGGTCTTGAGATGGGTCTTGAAAGTGGCAAGGGAGAGGGCGAGGCGAGGGCCTGCGGGATGGAGTTTCAGAAGGTGGGGGCAGAGTGGCAATAGTGGGGTGAGCAAGGCAGGGGACGTGAAGCAGGCCGGAGCACGCTGAGCAAGGGAGCGAATGGGATGGTAAGGGGTTAGGAGGTCACAGAGGGAGGGAGGAGCAAAACCATGGAGGGCTTTGAAGGTGAGGACCAGGATCTTGAACTGTATCCTCTGAGTGATGGGAAGCCAGTGGACTTGGGCAAGGATGGGGATGATAGGGTTGCAGAGCCTAATGCGGGAGAGGACACGGGCTGCAGAGTTCTGGATGATCTGCAACCTATGGAGGGAGAAGTTGGGGAGGTCGACAAGCAATCAGTTTGCATAGTTGAGCCTCGATATAATGAAAGCACGTATGAGGGTTTCGGTGGCCTGCGGCAGTGAGACAGTGTCGGAATCGGGTGACGTTGCGGAGGTGGGGAAAGGCAGAGCAGGTCATGGCGCAGATGTGGGATAGAAAGGATAGTTGAGGATTAAACAAGATGCCAATGGTTCCGGACTGGCTTAGCAAGGTGGAATGTGCAACCATGGATGGTGATGCGCTATCAGTTAAATAGTGGTGTTTGTTTTCACTGTTATTTTAACATTGGGACATTTTATACCTAGGAAAGCCATGAGCAGTTAAAGACCAGGTTCCAGACCCGTCTCCAAGAGAATTCACGGTTGACTCAACAAAACTCACGTGGAACTCAAACAACCAGATGGACCCAGAAAGAGGAAGACTGGAAGGTGATACAGACAATAATGGAGAACTTCTCTTCTTCTAAACTGGGTCTTCCATCTTCCAAGGTGGGATTTCTTTACCTTCTCAAGTGAAACAAACGCATAAATAGTTAAAGGAAAATGCTTTTTTCAAAAGTTAACTAATTATGGGAAACCAACCTTTCATTTGTTCCTCAGGTTCTCTTGCATGGTCCCTTTAATCCATATGAAATCAGGTTTCACAGCATGACTGCCATGTCCAGATTCAGGTATGAGAAGTTTTTCCATTATATAGGTATTGGCAAATGAGATGCTGGACTATGTGGCCAAATCAGTTGAGTTCAAATCCCAAACATCCTATATAATATGCTGCATACAGCTACATACATTTCTAGCTCCGACAATATAGAGGAATTGTTCAGGCTGTGCAGAGGAGAGCAATTAAGATGATCCCCAACATTAAAGGGATGAGCTATGAGAAAAGATTTGGCAAACTGTGGGTATTCAGTCTTGAAAGGAGGCATCTTAGAAAGAACCTTATAGAAGTATATACCATTTTAAATGTGACTAGAAAAAATAAACCCAGACCTTGCCAGGACACTTGTTTCAGGCCAGAACACTACAATCATTTTTTTAAAAAAACAAAAAACAGCTTGGCATGGTGATGGGAGGACTGTCGGGTGGGTATTCTGGAGGACTGTCGGGTGGGTATTCTGGAGGGACAAAATCAAATGGGCTGAAGAGCCTCTGGAACACTCCCTCAATCCCTTCAGCTTGCCCTCTCCACTTTTTCCAAGTCCCAGCTGAAAACCTTCCTCTTCGACCGTGCTTACAGCCACCTTCCCCAGCTCGGAGTCAGGCTCCGCCACTGTTAAGTGCTCGGAGACGCTACCCTGCATGAAGGGCACTGTATAAGTGCAAATTGTTATTTGTCCGAAGCAATGTTGCGAACTTTTGATGATATAAAGAGTGAGTCTTGATGTTCTCTGGAACTCCATCCCAGAATCCCTCCAATTCATCCCTCCCTTTCCATATTCCAGGCCTGTTTCAAGACTTACTTCTTTGACCCAATCAGCAGTATGAAGCATTTGAGGTATCCTACAGGCATGAAGGGCTCTACAGAAATGTTAATTGTTTTGTTCTGTAATGTTCTTTTGAAAATGTTTTCATTCTTACTTTCTCTGTAGAAATGTGTGGATTGAGAGAGAAAGTATCAATTCAGTAGCTCTGAATGGTGCTCCAGAAGATGTTCACCAGAGAATGTTAGTTGCTGCATCTGTATCAGTAAATGCATCAGGTACTTGTATATAATTCTGTGAATACAAAATAAACATGGCTTCTGATATAGTCAGTTAATTTCATTAGCTTCCTACTATATAGTTATAATGATCAGTTGTCAAGCACAAAACTAGTTTTGTAAGGGAATCGTGTGGTAAATATAATTTTTCTGGAAAGCTTAATTTTCTCAAATTAGTGAGACAATTTTGAACAATTTATTTTACTGTCTTATATCTCACTATTTGAAGAATATTACTTAATTTTTATGTCAAAGTCGCTTCCCCTTTCTGTTTTTTTCTTATGTTCTTAATCAATTCTAACATTGCTAAGAGGTTGAATAACATGTCATTTCATTGTTAGAGGCTTGACATTTTCCATTGATTATAGATTTGATGGGTTAAGGAATCAAAAATATCAAGGGGATCACTTGACAATATAAAGCATAGAATGAAGCTTGAACTTACTTAATCCAGAGATGAATGAGTCCTTGAAATACACTACAGTTTCTAGGTCATTTTTTGCATTTTAGATAGTCAGGGGAATTTTGTTAGTTTTTCAGTTAGCCTCGTGCTCCATGCCGACGAGCAGGATTCATGGCAGATTGCATAGGATCACGGGTTCTAATTGGCTTAATCATTTGAAGTGCAATTGTACCATGTGGTGAACTATAGTTAGCTTTTATTCATCTAATGTTACAGGCAAAGCATACCATGTCTAAGCATGCTATTTCCAAAGTGCACATACTAAAGTACAGTATGGATATAGAAATGTATCTTTTATTGGCTTTCAAATTCAACATGGTGAAACGAGTGTCTGGAATACGCATTCCTGTGCCATTCAGTCAGAGACCTCTTCAAAATGAGTTGCTTTCATTCTAGTTTTGATGCAAGTGAATCCACTTTTGCAATGTCATTTGTTGCATTGCCAGTTAGATCATTGGTGTTGCCACATTTGGAGTAATGGTATATGTATCGTCAAAAATGTTTTGAAGCAAAGAAAGAAGAAGCTAAAGTTAATTTATTATGAGTTATGGGAAAAGTTCACAAGAGTTGAATTGGTTCACATAAGAATAAAAAAAGATTGAAGGAAGGTATATTCCACGTCATTAAAGTAAATGAAATCCATCACCATACTTATGAGTATCCAAATCAAACAAAGTTCTATGCATCCCATCTATGCATGGAAAAGCCCATGTGTAGAAATTCCTGTGGGCGAGGTAGATGTAGGCAGACTATATAAGCAAACTTCTATTATTTAACGCATTTTGCCAATACTTGATTTTGAAGGCTCAACTATAATTGTAAGAGAAACAACTTTGATGCCAAACATCCATGGACTTCCAGCTCTCATTTGTATGATATTTGCTCCAGTCATGGAACTCAGGTACACATGAAAATTATGCATCCACATTGGGTGTAAATCTTTCATATTGTTTGGATCATTTATCACATTTTTGGCAAATAAATCTTTCCTGACTTTCAATCCTTGTTATCTTTGCAAGGTGTGCTTTAAATAAGAAATTGATATATTGTCTCTTTTGAAAATATAAGTTAATTATTTTACTGTTTACTTGTTTGGATTGCCAGCATTGTTGCATTTTAGGTTTTGTTTGTATTTTTACAGGACTGATCGGCTGAGAAAATCTTATACTGGTGCATTGTGTGGATTAGGGTGGAATCCAACAACAAACGAGGCTCTGCTGGAAGAACATGACCAGGAAGTTGTGTTTGATGTGCACTTGGATGTAAATGACATTTCAGAGGTAGTATATAATGCTTTATTGTCCATCAAAGTAGTTTATATCGTCTTCACTTGCACTTCAGTGAAATAGTTCCTTTTTAATTCAAGGTTAAATCTTTTGCCTGCTGCATACATCCTTTTGAAAGTACATTCTATTGATAGCTTCATGCTTAGTTTAAATCCACTTCTTTAGGAACAGCTAATCATTGTGCATTTAGTAATCATATAATTATTATGGTTTTACTTATAGAATGAAAGATACCAAGGAGTGTGTTGCAAAGTTATAATTCTGTCATGGGCTCTGGTATAGCTTCCCGCTTGTAGTTTATGAACATCAGCAGGTGAAAGAGAGTAAATGTTCTTTCCTGGATTTTGAACACAATATTTGTTTCTATGATAAAGTTTTTGAAAACATAAATGTTAATACGACTTCTTCCTGAAGACTAAAGAAAATTAAAAACATGATTTATTCTTGCTAGGATATGGTTCCTTGCCCCAGTGACTATTCTTCATGCATAAACCTAAACAATGAATGCTATCCTGCTCTTGCCAATATCCACGCAAGTTCACATTCCACTAGGAGCCAATGAACACCGATGGTCGAAAAATTTAAGATTCTGTTAAGTTTTGGAAAAGTATTAAATCCAGTCTTAAATGAAATTCTGCAGTCCTTAATAACTTTACTTATTACTGTTGCTTCCTGTCTAGATCAATCTGTTACGGAGCACCATAAACAAATTAGTTTGTGATGGATATCATGGACCACCTCATTATGGAAACAATGAGAAAACCCGCAAACTACAGCATGAAGCCTCTCAGAAGTTGTTAGAGTAAGATTCCCAGTTCAATATTAATAGAAACTATAAAATATGCAAAGTTTATTACTATTTAATTTGAGGGATTCAAGTGACCAACACTTGGAGGAGCAAAGCTTGCGTACTTTTATAAGTCACAATCTTCCAAAATTACATTGGGCCCTATATTGAAATTGCATGTGCTTCACCTACAGCAGAGTTTTTTATAGAATGATTTAGAAGAGAAATATTGTTTGGTAATATGTTTCAAAGTTGCTTTTGATGATACAACACACCTCTGAACACTCTCTGAAATGTTTTTCTTCATAATCCATTTAGTTTGGTGTTCAGATTTCCCAAGCTTTGTTCACTGTCTTGAGTTTGCCATTTCTGTATTAGCTATTCAATTTTTTTACTTTGTGCCCCCACCCACACCCACACATATCTTGTAAGAGGAAAACATGTGCATTATACTGCTTGAACAATAATTGGAAGAGAATATTTTCTGTACATAATTTATCTGGTCTGTTAGCTGACTACTGTATGTATGTTACATTGTATAGCCATAAAAACCTTATGTAGGGAAATTTACATTTGTCTGTTACAGCATATTTACTGGAAAAAAACCAAGAGAAACTATTGTTTCACAATATTTTGATAAGCCATACAAGTGGAATCAGGTAAGCATCTACATTATCTGTGTCATGGAGGTCAGCATATTACAACCTAAACTCCTGAAATTTAAGAAAAATTATACAATGCTAGGGCGCATCTCAGTAATGCCATCTTAGCTGGAATTAAAACGCCAGTATAGCTGTTATTTACCTGCAAAATACAGTCACTACACTTTACACTGTATACAGTGGAGTCCTGTAGCTTAGTGGTTAGAGGACTCGCCTCGCAAGCGAGAGGCCCTGGGTTTGATTACCTGAACCGTTAGGCAAACGTTGGGCAAGTTTCCTTACTCCACATGCCTCTGTTTACCCAGCAGTAAAATAGGAACCTGGTTGTTAGTTGATTGACGGATCACTTTCCTGGGGGTAATAATCCCTTCACAAATAATAAATAAATCAATAATAATTTGGTCACTTAATCCACGACTGTTTGTGGGACACTACTGTGTGCAATTGGCTGCCGTGTTCCACCCACAAAATATCCAGTCAATTCACTTAACAGTATATTCTTTGAAGCACTTTGTGTCTCAAAGTCGTGATAAGATGTATATCAAATGCAAGGATTATTATTAATTTGCAATCCCGATGAGTATAGCCAGCCTTGGCTACCTTGTCGCTTGTAGCATTGAAAAGATCCAAGGCTGCTTTGCAGAAATGTGAATTTCACTTTGCTATGCATTAAAATACATGCACCTGTTTTGTCATGATAAACAACACGGCAAACTTTGGCTGCATTCTTTCAGAAAGCCTTCGGCTATAGTAGGGTTTTTGGGGGGTCTGTGCACTCTACATTTTAAATGGAAATGAAGTGCAGTTCAACATGTGAAAGTTCTGGGCTAATTATTAAATGCTCTATTGCATGTGAAGGAAGCATACGTTTGTTGTGGGGTATCATAGTTTTTAGTGCAGTAGAAATTCATTCTACAAAACTGTCTTGCTTTGTGTAGTGCTTTTAAACAAAAAACTAATCGATTTACATGGTATTCTGGCAACAAATATACAGTCAATTCACTTTACAGTGTGTTCTGTGAAGCGCTTTGGGACGTCCTCCCGATGTGAAAAGCGCTATATCAAATGCAAGGATTATTATTATTATTAACTAATCTGAAGTTAAAGCAATGATGTTCGAAATGTTCCCAAATCTGATTAAGTATTTCTTTAGTACATAATTTCTAAATTATGTGCTCTTTCAAACGTTTTTATTCTGCTGTTGATAAATACAATACCTATGAAAATCTCAAGACAAGATTGTTTTGTGTTGTTTTCAGGTGGCTCCACAGTTTCTTTTGAACCAATCAGAGTTTGAGAAAGGAAATAAAACTAGTCTGTACCAACTGCACCGCCTAGTCCTGCTGAGTCCATGAATCTTCGTGTTAGTCAGATTGAATGTGCACCAAATGGCTCCTTGGGAGAAGAAATGGAGCTAATTTAAAAGTGAAACCAAGAATTTTTGGTTATCATTGTTTGTATTAAAGCCTTAATTTTTTTGAGCGCTCTGAGACGCAGTCCGGCGTGAAAGGAGCTATATAAATGCAAGTTGTTGTTTAATAATTGATTTTGAGAGCTATGTTTATTATCTGATGGAAGCTAACTTTATTTTTTTAGCAATTACTGGAGCTTAGAGAGTTCTAGATTGTAAACCCATTGTCCCACCTACTGTCTCTGTTTCCTGGAGAAAATCGGAAATGGGTGTGATATCCTGTGTAGATTATTCATTTTTCGTTGCAGAAAAGGAAAGTATTGCTATTGTTTGCACACCAGTATTGAAACCTGAAGTGTAATGATTTCTTGTAAATGCAAAAAAAAAGGTTTGTTTTCGGTTTCAGAAAACAAAAATGTTGCTTCCTATTTTTTCACTTGCTAGTATTAAAAACTGTTTTGTTAATTAAAATTAATGATAATTTTGAATTGCACTAGCTTTGTGCATAAATGTTGGAAACCTATTTTTTTTGAATCTGTGAATTGGAATTATTTGAAGTGTCTGAAAATGGGTTGTATTTCACAAGATGCAATACTAGAAATATTAAAAATCTTTTTGGTTGCATGTGTTAAATTCATTTCTGATTTTACAATACCTCTCCATTAGCATTGGCCTCTTGGCCCAGTTGTTAAAATTGGTAGCTAATTGAGTCGGTCGGTCCATAAATGTCAGCAATGATTTTTCTTTTTGGAGAGTAAAAAAATGTTTAAGCAAAAGTACAAATTATTTTAAAAACACATTTCAGTTTATTTGCTCTTATGGACATGGTTTAATTCCAATCAGCAACTTCAGTGAATACATGAAGAAAAGATTGTATTGCACAGCAATATTATTGTTTATTATGTTTGACGATTTGATGTGCTCAGCATTTTGTTGCTGTACCAGAACAGATGAAAAAAATAAAAAAGACCTAACCAATGCTTCAGTTAAAAGATTAAATAATTGTATGTATTCCTTAAATTAGGGTCGGCGGGTTTCCATGCTGCCCACAGCACAGAAACAGCCCTGGTCAAAATGGCAAATGACATTTTGTCCATCTCTACCTTGATCTTTCTGCTGCCTTCGACACCGTCGATCACCACTCTATCCTCATCCACCTCCTCTCCTCTCACCTTAACCTTCACGGTTCTGTCGTTGACTGGTTCAGGTCATACCTTTCACACCATGTCCACCTCATCTCAACAAACGGTTTCTCCTCTAACCCCCGCACTGTCTCATGCGACATTCTTCAGGGCTCTGTCCTTGGTCCCCTCTTCTTCAGTATCTATATGCTCCCTCTTGGTGATATCATCTGCAGACATCGGGTCAACTTCCACATGTATGCCGATGATTCTCAATTCTACCTCTCTGCCTCGACTCCAGGACCACTGCTGTCCTGACCGAATGTTTGTCAGACATCAAGTCCCGGATGAGAGTTAATTTTCTTCAGTTGAACATTAACCAGACTGAGGCTTTCCTGATTAGCTCCCGTCAGAGCCTCATTTCAGGCGCTGACAGCTGACTATAATTGTAAGAGAAACACCTTTGATGCCAAACATCCATGGACTTCCAGCTCTCATTTGTATGATATTTGCTCCAGTCATGGAACTCAGGTACACATGAAAATTATGCATCCACATTGCTCCCTACCATTGTGCTCGCTCCCTCCGCTCCGGCCTGCTTCACATCACCCGCCTTGCTCGCCCCACTATTGGCAGACGGGCCTTCTGCCACTCTGCCCCCACCCTCTGCACCTCCATCCTGCAGTCCCTCAATCTTGCCCCCTCCCTTGCCACCTTCAAGATCCTCTTCTTCAACCGTACTTTTGATCTCTGCTTTTACCCCTGCCCTCCAACCACCCCAGGTCGGATCCGAAACTGTCTGTCCAGCGCCATGGGACGTCCTCCTGATGTGAAAGTGGCTTTACATCCCGTCCTTTTCCAGAGAGAGTGAGCAATTAGATAAACTGGGCATGTTCACACTGAGGGTCGATATGATTACTTTTAAGATTCTGAAGGGAATAGATAACGTAGATCATAATAAGCTGCTTTATTACTTCACTAAACTTTGCTGTTACATTACTTCAGTGAGCGAGTAGTAAACTTTGATTATTCACAGCAAGTGTTTCAGTTTCGTAATCATGACATGAAAATTCATTGCAGCGTTTTGCTGTGTCAGACACTCCTTCCTGCTTCTAAATTTTTAGATCTGAATGGAATTAAATTAATACTTGCTGCTTTCACTTTCAATCTTAGTATAAATTCGTTCGCAGCCTTGCAGCGGCACTTGGAGTTGTTTATCCAGCCAGATCAGCAGGATCACCAAGGTGGCGATTCATCTCTCAACTAACTAATATGTCTAGTCCCGAGCTACAGCAGCTTGCCCTTGAGCTTTCAACTGCCCAGAATGAGACTAAGAAAAAGGTCTTTGTGATCTACACTGGAGGAACAATCGGCATGAAGGAACAAGAAGATGGTAAGAAAGTTGTACTTCGGAAACAGACCCACGGATGCCGGCACAGGTTAAAGTGGATTGGAGAGATTGAGTTAAATCTGTTCTGCCCTTTGCTTTGTCTTACTGCTGCACTTGCTCTGCTCAGAGTTCATGCTCTTCTCCCACTTATGCGCAGATGTGTCAAAATTAGTTTGCTCGCCGATAGCGATTATTGGAATTTTGCACAATTCTCAATAAATATTTAAAGAAATGAATAGGTTGGTGGCCGCTTTCTCTGTGCGATTCATTCGTTCTTCTCACTACGTATATTTTGTAACAAAATTATACAAATGCAAGTTGTTGTTGTTGCTTCTCAACAACACTGCCGCCAAAAGCAGCCTTTGCGTCTTCCAAGGTAGACTTTTCTAACATTCTCCTGCTTGGCTGGCATCCTCACCTGCACCCTCCCACATAAACTACAATTCACCAATAACTTTTTTTTCCCCCCGTGTAAGGTTCTGAGCACACACCCATTACTGCCATTTCCTTTCCAAGATTTTCAGTATACAACAGATTATTTTTTTAATGATTGTTAATCATATCTTAAAATCTCTCTTGGTTTGGCACTTCCCTCACTGTCGCGGCCAGATTAAGGGATCTAGGGGTCCTAAGGCAGATCACATTTGGGGGTTCTTCGTTGCAAAACATGCAACAGCATCTTTTTAAAATGCTTTCTTCCATGACTTCATGGTTACAAACATGTCAACTACATGATCAAAACTTAGTGTACGCCTCAAATCATACCCAATAGACAGGATTGTGAGTGCACTCAACCTATCTTAGATCATTGTAGAGCTGAGTGAGTTTTTGATGAGACTCATCTTTGAGAGCAAGCATTCACTTTCACAGACTGTTATTTGTAGTGTTAAGACCATACAAAGAGCAAGTGCCACACTTGGAAATGTGAAGCTAACGGTAAATGCACAGGGTGTGGCTGCCTGTGCCGATGATAGCAGAACAGACAGGATTGTGAGTGCCTTTGATTTCAGCGTGCAGTGTAAAACCACTCAGGGCACTCCATTCCTGTACAGCTGCCAACTAACTGCAACATCCTGCTCTCTAGGAATAATCAAATGAATATTGTTGTCAATTAAACTCAATAAAATAACTTATAAGCTTTGAAATTAGATGTATTTTTGTTGCAAATTCGGATGACTAACCGCTTGAGTGCCAAAGTTTTAGCAAAACAGTATTATGGAAGAGCAATTTCCTTGTGGTAAATTTAGAAAATACTGCTGGCGAATGTCTTAGGGGCAGATGGAGATTTTCCAAGTACGCAAGACTGTTTGGCATGTGGTTTTCAGTGGAGTTGCTTCTAGATGCAAACTGCAAATATGAACTATATTGCATTTCTGTTAATTCAACATTGTTTTTTGATGAATTGCCCCAAGAAGAATATGTTGGATTCAAATGTATGACCAATCGTGGAACTAACCACTCCGTTGAAGCCTGGGATAAAAGGTGTAATAATAATAATAATAATCCTTGCATTTGATATAGCGCTTTTCACGTCGGGAGGACGTCCCAAAGCGCTTCACAGAACACAATGTAAAGTGAATTGACTATATTTGTGGGCGAACGCGGCAGCCAATTGCGCACAGCAATGCCCCACAAACAGTCTTAGATTGAAAATGACCAATTTATTATTGTTTGGGGTTTTTGGAGGGATTATTATTAGGCGTGTGGAGTAAGGAAACTTGCCCAAGGTTTCGCCCTGTGCCTGGAATTGAACGCCGGTCTCTCGCTTGCAAAGCGAGCGCTCTAACCACTGAGCTACAGGACTCCAAAAGTATTCCTATTCCACGTGTAGCAGAAAGACCACCAATTCTGCTTGCCCGAAATTTTGAATTAGAAACATATTAACAGAGGAACCAAGGTCACTCGTATTTTGTAAAGGGTTTACTTAATAAGGCAGAAAGTCATATAATTTTGCATTGGTTCTTTAAGCATAATAATAATAATCCTTGCATTTGATATAGCGCTTTTCACGTCTTCTAGACGTCCCAAAGCGCTTAGTCACATTAGGCAGGGTAATGATAAGACAATAGCGGCTGTTATGCTCACATATAGCAACATCACTGTAAGGATAATATCAAACTTCATAATCAGTAGGCAAACTTTTCTTGGGTCTCGTTTCTGTCTCTGGAACGCTGATAATAATGGCCGTTGAATCAAAGAACAGAAGTTCAATCTCTACAAGTTGTATTCTCGTATCTTTGCAGTCTGTTCTTCACTTTTGCTTTTTTCTGATGTTGATGGAATTGCTGGAACCCTTGACCAGTCGAGGTTGAGTGGCTGGAGTCGCAGGGTGAGGGAAGAAAAAGATGTAGTCGCTCTCACCAGTTCGGACCGAATACCAGGAATGACCAGCTCTGACTGAACGAAGTGTAGTTTGGCTTGTAGCATTATCCTTTTTTGTTCTAACACCAAGATGGTCCGTGTGAATTTGCACGTTCTCACCCGCTTAATAGTTGCTTAAGCAGGCTATGACTGCCCTTGGTTGTGCGTACTCTTGAGCTGCTTCCGATTAAAACAATGCAGCACTGTTCAATAATTAGCAAGAGCTGCAGCTGTGGTAAACACACTTCTGAACCAATTTAACTCTTCAAGGCACAACATACTGACATTTTCCCAAAACATTTTGTGTAGAAAACCCAACTACCCTGTAACATAACAACTTTTAAGAGAGTTAAAAGTAGAGTAGAGTTGATGTAGAGTTCTACAATTCAGTTGAATTTAATTAGGACCATACTCCGTACCCCTCTCTCACCATTCTGGCCAGGATAATAATAATAATAATAATCCTTGCATTTGATATAGTGCTTTTCACGTCGGGAGGACCTCCCAAAGCGCTTCACAGAACACACTGTAAGGCGAATTGACTGTATATTTGTGGACGAACGCTGCAGCCAATTGCGCACAGCAATGTCCCACAAACAGTCGTAGATTGAAAATGACCAATTTATTATTGTTTTTGTAGGGATTATTATTAGGCGTGTGGAGTAAGGAAACTTGCCCAAGGTTTCACCCTGACCTGCCTGGAATTGAACCCAGGTGTCTTGCTTGCAAGGCAAGTGCTCTAACCACTGAGCTACAGGACTCCACTGGAGTTGAAAAATTTGTACCAGTCTTCACTTTTTACTCCTAACTTTTTAATTTTTAACTTTACTTTGGAATAGGAATACTTTTGGAGTCCTGTAGCTCAGTGGTTAGAGCACTCGCTTGGCAAGCGAGAGACCTGAGTTCAATTCCAGGCACAGGGCGAAACCTTGGGCAAGTTTCCTTACTCCACACAGAGCCTAATAATAATCCCTCCAAAACCAAAAACAATAATAAATTGGTCATTTTCAATCTAAGACTGTTTGTGGGGCATTGCTGTGCGCAATTGGCTGCCGCGTTCACCCACAAATATACAGTCAATTCACTTTACATTGTGTTCTGTGAAGCGTTTTGGGACGTCCTCCCGACGTGAAAAGCGCTATATCAAATGCAAGGATTATTATTATTATTACTTCATTAGTGAATACTTAAGATGACTGTCTTAATGAATTCTCTTCATCTTGAAATCTTCAATTAGGTGACCTTAAAATGTCTTTTCCAAAGAAAATTCTCTCGACTTTCCTTAAACGTTCAAATCCTGAAAGTAAGCTCCATTCTGATAACTTCCACAAAAGTTTAATTGCCAATTCATGCCAAATCTTCTTTGCTACTCGTCTCTATTTTCAAAGGTAATCATAGAATTATACAGCACAGAAGGAGGCCATTCGGCCTATCGTGTCTCTGCCGGCTCTTTGAAAAAACCTTTCCAATTCAATCCCACTCCATTGCGTTCTCCCTGCATACTTATCCTCCCCAAATAATTATCTACTTCTCTCTTAAAAGTTGTTATCGAATTGGCTTCCATCACCCTTTCAGGCAATGCGTTCCAGATCCGAACAACTCACTGTATGAAAAAATTTCTCCTCACCTCTGCTTCTTTTAACAATTATTTTAACTTGGTATCCTCAGGTTTACCACCCCACCCACCAGTGGGAATAATTTCCCCATGTTCACCCTATCGAATCCTCTCATAATTTTGAAAACTTCTTTTAAGTCTCCTATTAACCTTCTCTGCTCCAAAGAGAATAATCCCAGTTTCTCTAGCCTCCTTTGCACCCACTCCAATGTCTTAACATCTTTCCTAAAGTATGGTGCCAAAAACTGAACACAGTACTCTAGCTGAGGCCTAGCCAGTGTTTTATAAAGATTCCCGACTTTTGTATTCTTTGCCCCTATTTATAAAGCCCATTTTATCAGTCTGTCTCTGTCCATTTGCATTCTGCTATTGTCCTCCTCACTGTTTACTACTTTTCCTAGCTTACTTAATAAATAACTTCCTAAGATTAGGAGGATGGTGTCGTAATCCAAATGTGATCAAGGATTGCAAAGGATGCAAGAATTATTCTTAGAATTTTCTGTAGTACTGAAATTCAGAGTCTTAGATTGACAGTTTCTCAGATATCAGGTTTGGAGAGATGATTCTATCGTGTTTCATATTTAAGAATCAAACTTGTTAAAATGTGCAAGGCAGTGAAAGAAAATTGATCTGTGAGCCTGCAGTATGATTCTCACTTGTGCATTATACAAGAATCTAGATTTTGCTGCTGTACAAATATTTTTCCATACATATCCATTGCTTTTAGTCAATCATTATTGTGTTGATGCCTTTCTCTTTAGGACTTAAACCAGTACCAGGAGCACTTGTCCCATTCCTTCGAACGCAACCCAGCCTACATGATCCAAAATACCCTGAAAAGCTTCCTGAAAATACATTGGTTCTTCCGTAAGTATCGCATTAACTACAGAGTGAGTGAAATGTATTGAATTTGCAATGAACTATCAATTAATAAGCTGCTTTAAACAAACAATCTTGTGATGATGTCCTCACTGCACACCTTACATTATTCATTGTATGCTTTACACTCCAGAAAATTGACACGACTATACCCAGAGATCAATAATTTATACTTTAACATTGCACGCTGAACCTTCTTGTTATAAAAGTTAAGGTTACAGTGTAGTGTGAATTGATTATTATGATGTAAATATACGAATGTATAAACAGATGCAGATATCCAACTGGTAGGTTTCATTTACTATTTTAAGCCACTTGTTGACTTCGATATTACATAAGAACATAAGAAATGCTAGACGAAAACAGACCAAGGTCCATCTAGTTCGCCTTCCACCTTCTGGCAGTCACGTGCACATATATCCCAAACTACCTATGTACTATATCCCATAATGTATTTCCTAAAAGAAAACTATCTAATCTATGTTTCAAAGAATCAATATTTCCTGTTTCAACCATCTCTCTAAGAAAGCCTGTTCCACAGGTTCACTTTTCGCTCACTGAAATAGTGTTTGTGTGGAGTCGTTCTGAATTTACCCCCTTCAATCACCGGCTGTGTCCTCTGATTTTTACTATTCTCGACAAATTGAAATAGCCTGTCATGATATCTATTGTCTTGCCCCCTTAGAATCTACAGACAGCAATCATGTCGCCTCTCAATCTTCTCTTCTCCAGCATGAACAAGATGTTGTTATTGCTATTTAACACGTCAATTCCATGTGTTGCTGAACTACATGATTCCCTTACCGCTATCCCCATGGCTGTCGAGTGCCTGTTTTTTCAGTCTCACCACATTTAATTTCATTGGTGCTCTAATCTTAAGGCTTGACACACAGTAGATACCAGAAGCCTCTCCTGAATGATATGATGTATAACAGAGTTTTTGAGTGTATGGCCATTATTTTTTTAAATTAAAGGGATTAAGGGGTATGGGGATAGGGCAGGTAAATGGAATTAGGTTAGAAGATCAGCCATGATCTTATTAAATGGCGGGGCAGGCATGAGGGTCCGAATGGCCTACTCCTGCTAATATTTCTTATGTTCTTATACCGTAGACAACAGCCAAAACACACATTATAATCCATGGAAACGTGATTTGACTTGTTCGAGGTGTAATGCTTCAATAGTGGTTCCTTAGGACTCTGTACCAATCAGAGTGGCTACTGATATTGTAGCTATCACTATATATCAGGTACTTCCAAATCCTCACTCAAAGTAGTACCTTCCCACAGCAGCTGTCCTGAGCCTCAGAGGTTCCATGTCCATCTTTTGACAAAAGACGCCCTTTGCCTTGGTAATGGAGATTTTGCTGTAGTACACGCGGAAATCCAACAATGCTGGGTGATAGTTCCCTTTTTCAACATTCATGTGACACGTGTTGAAATTCAACTTGTATGTTACCAAAGACCAATTTAAATATCCACATCAAAGTTTAGCGCAGTCCAGTGAACCCAAGGTAACCCATAAGAATCATATGAAATCTTATGTTTTAAGTTGTGTAAATTTTCGTTACAATCAACCTTTAAATAGGCAAAGTAAAAATTCATCCAAATTTTAAAACAATAATATACCCAGCGATGAGGCATCTGTTTCTGTGTGCATCTCTCTCTCTGTCTGTGTGTATCTCAGTCTCCCTCTGTCTGTGTGTATCTCTGTGTCTGTCTGTCTTTTTTGTGTGTGTGGCCCTATGTGTCTCTGCTGTTGCATTTTTGAACTCTACCACACCTACTCTGTGTTATAGCCCTTATTTGAAGGGTATGTATTCACTTAACTGCAGACTCTTTGTTGTTTTTGTTGCTGTTTTATGCTTGAAAACTTCAGGTTGAAGAAATCCTGGGAGAGATGTCTCTTTTATCCATTGTTATAGCTAAAAGGCTTTTATTTCTCTGTTTTACAGTCTCTCTAGAATGAATATGAGGGTGATTTATACAGTGTCTGAATATGACCCACTTCTCGACTCCAGTAACATGAATGCAAAGGATTGGGCTAAAATTGCTAGCGATATACAGGTTGGTTAAAGCTCAAGTCAAGAATCAATAAGTATAAGATTATAGTTACTTTAGTACATGAGCTGAAAGATCACTTTGAATTAATGCCACACCGACCCTTCTTGGTAACTAGTTCCAGTCGTTAATTATCCTCTGGGTAAAACAACTTCCTGGTGTGTGTGCCCTATGCCCTCTTATTCTATTACTGTTGTGTTTTTGTAATTGTGCTTACTGAGAAATGCACTGTTCCTGATCTATAAATACCATGGAAAAGAGTATTTTAGATGAAAGCAATGTTACAAATTGGAGCATAATATATCTCAGCATAAATCTATATATAAATACTGGAAGTAAAAATGTCTTGTGTTTCTAAAATTTAATTCTAGACAACCATTAAAGAAATGTCTGGAATTCTTAAGTGTTTTCTGAATAAATCTTCAAATGAATCTTTGTACTTTTAGAGTAAAATTATTATGAAAGCCTACAGCGGTTTCATACCAAGTATTCTTACAGCGCTGGTTTTATCAGACATTTTCTTTATCATCATTCAGCTGGTTCAAAGTGGTTGTATAATAATAATAATCCTTGCATTTGATATAAGACCTTATTATGCCTTTGAGACATCTCAAAACTCTTCATAGAATATATTGTACAGTGAATTAACTGTATATTTTACTAGTCTGATAGATACAAGAAGAATTCAGGGCTTGAATAAATACCTAGACAAGAGGATAATATTGAGCACACCATTCTTTGATGCTTGCTGTTCTCTAACCTTTTTTTGTTCTTTGTCTTAGAAAAACTATGGCAACTATGATGGTTTTGTGGTTCTTCATGGTACAGATACCATGGCATACACCTCTTCAGCTCTTTCATTCATCTGCAAGGACCATCAAAAATCTATCGTTTTGACTGGCTCTCAGGTAACATGGAAATATTTTACACTTCAAGGTTTCAATGCTGTCTTATATTTGGTTGAGGATGGACCCAGGCTTGGCTGTGATGGTCCTCACGGTTAAATAGTATACTGATATTTAATGTTTCAAATATAGAGAGTAGCCCGTTGGAGAGGTAATGAAGGGATCGGGTGACCTGTAGGAAAAATATATCCAGCATAAGATCCATCACAAGAAGAGGAGGAAACTGTTAAGAAGATAGAATAATAGGTTTTTTACTACTCATTTGTTGGTGGAGTTATAATAACAATACTAATAATCCTTGCATTTGATTTAGCGCCTTACACGTCTTTGAGTCGTCTCAAAGCGCTTCACAAAATATACTGTAAAGCGGCGTGATTTTGTGGGCAATATAAGGCTGAGCTCCACAGACAGTCAATTCACTTTACAGTAAACTCTGTGAAGCTTTGAGATATCTCGAAGATGTGATAAGACGCTATATCAAATGCAAGGATTATTATTATTATTCAACAGTAACACATACATGCAACTGAAACATCACCCAGCAAGTGCACTGGATAATGGTGATTGTTCAGTGAAACAACCACTGGCAGAGTTTAAATAGGAATTCACAAGAATAAAGTGTCCAAAATATACTTGTTGCAATTCCACTTTTTTTGAAAATAAGAGTAGTTGGTCTGAGAAGCAACTGTTGTTTTGATGTGGATTATCACAAATGTAAAAGCACAAACGTAAAATCTCAAATGAATAATCAAGGTAAGAACTTTCTTAACAAAAAGAAAATCAACCATGTGAACATTGCAACATTTATCTTCTGGACTAGAAGCTAATGTTGACCACTGGCTATAATTACCAGTCCTGTCAGACCAGTCTTGGTAGCGTGTTTTAGCCTTAGCTGCCCCAAAGGGCATCTTTAACTGTTTCTGTCTGCCTGCATTGGTAGATGAAGGAGCAGATAGAAAGAAACCTTCTGTTAGGCTGATTGAGGAACAGCATTGCATTTACATCTTTGCATTCAAAGAAACAGAAATTGAGTCATCTTGCTGAGGAAAAGTCAACAATTTTTAGTTGGAGGAACTAAAAATGACTAATAATGAGAGAAAAGAGTGAAGTTGGGTAGCAATGGTTCATTCTGGGACCTTGGAAAGAAAGGGAAGGTTGGAGATGGAACAGTAGTTTAAGAAGAGAGATGGGTCAATGTAAGGTTTTATCTGTTAGTTGAGAGGCCAAGAGGTGGAGCTGGAGTTAAGAAGAGGAATAGGGATTATTAACCACAAAACGTGTGTATCTTTCGTCCGTTTATTCAAAGGGTCCCCGAAATGTTGGCATAAGTGGGCAGGACTGTATTACAGGTAGACCAGAAGGAAATCTTGCCACTCTTTGTGGAGGGTGCAGACAGAAACATATTCCCTCTATTAGCCTGGTTGAGGAACAGCATTTATAGCTTTAGTACTGGCAAGAAAGAACAAATGAGTCATCTTATCATGAGTTGAAGGAACTGAAAATAGCTCATGTGCATCACATATTGTGGATAGACCAGATGGAATTCTTAACTCTGTCTGTAATCGGTCACTCATTAGACAGACAGGGTGAATTTATGAAATAACGGTACCCTCTTGTTCTGTATGTGTGTGTGTATATCTTTCTCTTATGTCTCTCACTCTTAGTCCATCTGCTATGCGTGTCTCTCTGTTCTGTGGATGTGCTTTGTTCTCGCACATGGTTTCTGTGTTCTTGTTCTGTGTTGTATGTCTCATACTCACTTTGTGTGTTGCTTTCACACTTTCCCTTTGTGTGTCTGTCTTGTGTGCTCCACTGCCCTCTTCAGATCCTGCCTGTTTAGTGCTCTGCCTGAAGCTCCAACTGAGTCAGGCAAATCTCTGGTTGTTGAAAGACCTGAATTCTTCATGAAACAATACAGCTTTGATTTGGCAGGTTGGTCTTGTTTGGGCACAGCTATCTTTGCATTGTTGGAGGTGCCGTCCTTTGTTAAAGACCCTGTGGCACTTTAGGAAAAGGAAAGTGAGTTTCTCCCGGCATTCTTGTATCGGGTCAACAATAATAATAACAATAATAATAATAATCCTTGCATTTGATATAGCGCTTTTCACGTCTTCTCGACGTCTCAAAGCGCTTCACAGAATAATAATAATAATAATAATCCTTGCATTTGATATAGCGCTTTTCACGTCGGGAGGACGTCCCAAAGCGCTTCACAGAACACACTGTAAAGTGAATTGACTGTATATCTGTGGGCGAACGCGGCAGCCAATTGCGCACAGCAGTGACCCACAAACAGTCGTGTATTGAAAATGACCAATTTATTTTTGTTTTGGAGGGATTATTATTAGGCGTGTGGAGTAAGGAAACTTGAATTGAACCCAGGTGTCACACTTGCAAGGCGAGTGCTCTAACCACTGAGCTACAGGACTCCAGTTTCACCTGACACACATGCTTCTGAACACCACAGCAAACAAATATCAAAAAAAATTTAAAAAGGACAGGATTACTGTGAAATTGCATATTTGGCAAAAAACACTTCGCCATCGCGGGAACTATTTTGTCGTAGGGTTGGTCAGGATCGATGGTCGAAGCATCTGGTCTGGTCGCCTCTAATAATGCTTTCTGTCAGGACTCTGGCTTCTCCGGTGACCCAGCCTGCTGCTTCTCTTGCTCTTGGGAGGCCCTTGGACGAAGCCCCAGTCTATGCTGATCTGCTGGCCGGCAAGTTCCGTGCCGTTCAGCCACTCCATGGCCACCTGTGCCTCCTTTGTACATTTCATATTCCACCAACACATAACCCTTGAGATAGCCAATGCGTCGGTCCAAGTTCAAGTTGATATTCTTGATTTTCCCAAATTCAGCAAATCGGTCGTATACATCCTGCTCTGTGGCTTCTTCATGGACGCCTGTCACAAACAGGATCCAACCCTACATGGATCTCTGAGATCCTGGTTCATTACCATCCTGCTCAACGGAGTCAAAGTCTTCATGCATTCGGGACCTGGCCCCTTTGTCGGAACCAAAGCCTCTGCCCTTCCACTTCTTTGTCTTTTCCTTCAGCTTGTGGATACCTTGTCGTCCATGATGAAATTCTTGGCTCTTGCCTCGTGAAGGTCCAGTATGTCCGCCATCTTGTCTCTGCTGCTCATATAATAATAGCAATAATAATTCACTTCATGGCTGTTTGTGGGACATTGCTGTGCACAAATTGGCTACCATATTAACCTTCAAGAACACATTCACTGCACTTCACAGTAAATAAATAATCCTTACGTTTTTATATTTGATATTTAACCCTATGAAACATCTGCTGAGCCGCAGAAACATTCACAATAGACTTAATGTATATCTGCTGAGAAGGATGCAATCATGTAAGTATTTTATCAGTGGGGTGATGGTTCAGGAGTTTTCTGCTGAATGAAGCAATCCTCAAATAGCTTTAAGCAGCAAAACATCAGATTTCTGTGAATTTCCATTCAAAGACATGGGTTTGCCTGCAGGTGGTGCTAATGTGCTGTGTATATTTTAGAGAAAAGGCAGCAGTTTTCACATATTAAATATGATTGTTTATAGAGGAAGAATTAGGCCTTATTTGGTCTGGAGAGGCTTTTCAATATATTTGCTAAAACAGTGGTCCGATCATAGGTGTCTTGGTGGGGGATGAAACACGTTTGATAGAAGCAGCTGGAATACATGGTACAGTTGCTGCATTGTTTTGGGCTATTGATGGTGTCTGCTGAGGTTACTTCATTCAGTTCCATTTAATTTCCATGCTATCACCTACACTGTGTTTCCAAACACCCCAACCCCCAACCCCCTGAACAAGGAACAAAAAGCGTGGGGGTAAAAATTCAAAGGTGGCAAAAGAAATAAAATCAAAAGTGAAGGAAGAAAAAATATAGGTCTGGCAAACAAGGAACATGACCTTGATGCCTTACATTCACAGGTCACAAGTCACTAAGGATTGGGGATAATGCCAACCCCTAAACAGCATCAAGGAGTCCTTTTGAAGAGGTGAACTGCTCTTTGTAGCCTGAAGATCCCTCTAGTGAGCTTGTTAAATATTTTATTGAATCAACTCTGACCTAAAAAAACAGGCATTACAGAGCCAGACTATATCTACTGCTGGTCGGACTTTAACACCCATGTTGCTTGCTCAGGAAGCTGTCTAAACTGATCAGCCTCCATCTGTTTTCTCCCATTTTCATCTCTTCTCCCCAGAAGGCATCAAGTCAATCTGGAGCACTGTTACACCAACACTTTTCCACCAAATGAGCATCAGCCTCGTCAGTGGATTATTTTATTCTAAGCACTAAAAATAGCCAAGTCTTCACTATGGCAAATCGAAGTTGGAAAATCACTATTTTTAGTGATCAGCAAAAAACTTTACTTCACCATTGCCAAGACAGATCCTACCCTTGCTTGATGTCCACACACATACAATTTCAGCAGATAGTTCTCAAGAGCAGCAAAGCTGATCTGATTTTTTTCTCTTTCCGTAGCTTGCAGACATTGAAATCAGTTTTCTGCCCCAGCGCTGAAACCGGTTGACTCACCAAAGGCCAGGGATTGAAATGAGTGCCATAGCATGAGCTTTATTTCCCCTACTGACCTATCTATTGGAAAGCGCATTGCATTCATCACAGCATCAGGTGCCTGAGGAGATTGCAAATGCAATCTGACCAACTGCACCTAAAGCTGTTAGCTCATTGCACTATTTTCAGAAAGAAAATTATTTCTGTGAATTTCTTTGAACTAGAAGAAATGTAAAGACCTCCCTCTTGACCGCTGTGCTCCTGAATAAGAATGGCCTCCTTCTGTGCTGTATAATTCTATGATTCTGTGATAGTGCCTCCTGGTGGCCGATCGAGAGGATGACGCATGCAAGTAAATCAGTTGTTACTCAGCTGTGAGTAACAAAAGGGGTGAGGATAAACACACAGTCTCAGAAATAGAAGGGTGCATAGTTTCACTAGGAAATGTTCACAAAATGTGGAGATGTGAAAATCTGATAAACTATTATAATAATGCCCTTAATGTCTACCATCCGTCTCTATTTGTACAGTTTACGGTCACAAATGTGTGTCTTCTTTCAGGTGCCTATTTATGAGCCCAAAAATGATGCCCGTGATAACTTGCTCGGAGCACTGCTGATCGCCTCTCAGTTTCAGATACCTGAGGTGCGTGGAGTCTCTGTTTGAGTTCAGTCCTCTAACACTTTTCCTCTTTGGTAATTCACCCTCCATTTGTAATTAGGTTTTTGTGAATTTTCTGTTGCTTATATGACTGACTTCTGTTTAAATTATTTAGGTTACTCTGTACTTTAATCACAAACTATTCAGAGGAAATCGTGTGACAAAAGTGGATGCTACTAATTACGCTGCCTTTGATTCACCCAACTATCCTCCACTCCTCAATGCTGCCAAGGACTTTAAAGGTAAATTTCAAATAATAGATATTGTTTACTTCCCCCATGTGAGATGATTCATCTCGCTTCTCCGCCCCTCTTTGTTCACCGCTGAACAAAAGTTTGCGCAGAAGGGAATCTTTCAACTGGGAATTGAAAATGATATTGAGGAAAATAAATAAATAAAGCAGGTGAGAGGTCGGTGATGATCACATTGTCCTGTAGATGACTCCATGGGCCTGGAAGCTTTTCTCTTGTGTTTGTAAGTACAAGACCAGTTGGCAGTATTTTTAGTGGCAGCTCTTGTATTTAGCAGTTTTATGTTCATCAGGGTGAAGGATGTTAGTGCTGTGAAAGTGTGACCCCAATGCCAGAAATAACACAATTAGTCAGGTGTACAACATACTAGGTGCGGAGTAAATACTATAACTGCAGTACGATAACTTTATGATATTTTTCCTTTCTGCACATCCATTCTTCCATCCCCTCTGAGTGAGTTTACAAGTTTAGTAGATGGCTGAAACTTCCCCAAATAGTTCATACAGGTCTCTTATAATCAGCAAAGATATATAGGGAGTTTAGTTCCATTTGTTTGAGCTGGATTTGAATCTCTGTCCCATGAGTAAAAAGATTACTCATTATTAAAGAACCCATGACATTCCTTGAAAAGAGAAGGGAAGTTTCTCCTGGTGTCCAGGCCAACAATCCCCCAAATAATATTGGTCACTCACGTTTCTCTCACAAACAAGTCAATCCACTTTACAGTGTGTGTATATATAATATATATATCCTGTGAAGTGCTCTGAGACATCTCAACGACGTGAAAGGTGCTATATCAAATGCTAGGATTGTTATTATTACTATTATGCCACTACTTTGTCCAATGATATGTTCTCAAATTGCAAATATTTTCTTTCTGTATTTTAAATACCATAGCTTTGCTAAACTTCAGATACAATGTTTGCTTTCTATATAGTTGACTGGGACCTTGTCTGGGATTCAACTGCTGCAGAGAGTTTTGACATCAACACTGATCACATCCCAATTGTGAGGTTGCTGAAGTTTTTTCCTGGATTTGATGCTAACATGGTATATTTCATAATTTATGATGTTATATTGTTCTGTGATATAAGATTATAATATCAGCTTGTGTATTCAAACAGCAGTGTGTAAATGTATGGTACAGATGTTATTTTATGAGTATTTTATTGTTTATTTGCTGAGTTGAGCTAAATAATGTCAACTGACAAAGCAATTGGAGTGGGTACATTTGGCCTCCATACCTCATTAGTCTAAGCAGAGAAAACTAACTAGAGTACCAATTTCTGACTGGTGTCAGGTGATATCTTCTGAAATTGTATACCTGTACATATTTGACAGGATTGGGTTTGGCTGCAATTTGTACCCCATGGTCGATTAGCCTATCACCATTCACTGACCTCTGATTTGCAAGATTTGTGAGCTGAGCTTTTTTTTAAAAGGTTCATTAATTTTGTGACTGAACATTGCAGATATGGTGTCAACTTCCACATTATGTGGATGACACCCAACTCTACCTCTCTGCCTCCACCCTCGACTCCAGGACCACTGCTGTCCTGACAGAATGTCTGTCAGACATCAAGTCCTGGATGAGAACTAACTTTCTCTAGTTGAACGTCAACAAGACCGAGGCTCTCCTGATTGACTCCAGTCAGTGCCTCCACACCTCAGGTGCTGAAAGTATCACCATCCATGGATGCACATCTCACCTTGCTAAGCCAGTCCGGAAACTTGGTGTCTTGTTTGACCCCCAACTGTCCTTTCTATCCCACATCTGTGCCATGACTGATCTGCCTTCTCCCACCTCCACAACGTCACCCAACTCTGCCACTGCCTCATCTCTCAGGCTGTCGAGACCCTTATTCATGTGTTCATCACATCTAGGCCCGACTACGCCAACTCCCTGATTGTTGGCCTCACCATCTTTTTCCTGCATAAGGTGCAGATCATTCAGAACTCTGCAGCTTATGTCCTCTCGCACACCAGGCTCCGTGAACCCTATTACTCCCACCCTCGCCCAGCTCTGCTGGCACCCCATCCTCCAGAGGATAGAATTCAAAATCCTCATCCTTACCTTCAAAGCCCTCCACGGTCTTTCTTCTTCCTGACTCTGTGACCTGCTAACAACATATCGATCTGTCTGTTCCCTGCTCAGGAGGTTCCGGTCTGCTCCATGTCCCACCTCCTTGGGATGCACTATACAACTGTAATTAGGTGCTGTTGTTGTTGAGTACTTAATCAGCATTGATTTTTTTTTAAGAGGCTTGTTATTGCATTTTTTTTAACTCGTAAGTCTTAACTAACAAGGCTGCTGTATCACAGGTTTATACAATTTGTTCTCATATCGATCTCTTTACAGGTGAGAGCGGTTCTGTCTGTTCCGGCTGAATCGGTGAGAGCAGTTTCAGCTGAACTGGTGACAGAAGATCCAGCTGAACTGATGACAGACGGTCTGGCTGAACTGATGACAGAAGATCCGGCTGAACCGGCGACACACGTTCTGGTAAATAATAATTATAATAATAATCCTTGCATTTGCTGTAGTGCTTTTCACGTCGGGAGGACGTCCCAAAGCGCTTCACAGAACACACTGTAAAGTGAATTGACTGTATATTTGTGGGCGAACGCGGCAGCCAATTGCGCACAGCAATGTCCCACAAACAGTCGTGGATTGTAAATGACCAATTTATTATTGTTTTTCGTTTTGGAGGAATTATTAAAAGAGGTGAAAGGAGCTGTGGTGGAGTCTTTTGGAGCAGGTAATTCTCCAAATGATCCAAAGATACTGCAAGAATTCAAGCAGGCTGTTGATCGTGGAGTGCTGATCATGAACTGCACTCAGTGTTTGAAAGGGACTGTGACAATGGATTACAACACAGGACAGGTGAGTTACTGATTTAAAAGTTATCTAATTGAATTCAAAATGGTCTGTAATGATTCTAAATCCACAATATCATTAAGCAACTCCTTTATTCACTGCTCCCATTTCAGCCATAAATCCCCAACCCCAGGTGCTTCCCCTAAATCCTTCAAGTGCTCTGGGACACCACCCCAAGTGAAGGGCTCCATAGAAATGCACGATATGTTATTGGTCATACATGGAGTCCTGTAGCTCAGTGGTTAGAGCACTCGCCTCGCATGCAAGATACCTGAGTTCAATCCCTTCAAAAAAAAACAATTTGGTCCCGCAATCCACGACTGTTAGTGGGACCGTGCTGTGAGCAATTGGCTGCTGCGTTTCACCCACAAAATATACAGTCACTTTACAGTATATTCTGTGAAGCACTTTGAGATGCTCGAAGACATGGTAAGGTACAATATCAGATGCAAGTACTATTATTATACTTCCTACTCGAATCTCGTTGGTAATTCTTAACATGGTGACTTCAAGCATTAGTTATGAGATTTTTCAACAGGTTTCTTTAAATGAATGGAAATCTATCTGTAAACTTGAACAGATTATCCACTGACAGATTTACTTTGCTAGAACTGATAAGACCCCTTGGGGGGAAATCTCATTAAAAGCACACTTTGTCAAAGTGTGTGCTTGTAAGAGTAATTTCCCCCCCTTTCCCCCCATCCTCTCTCTCTCTCTCTCTCGCATGCATTAGCACAAATTACAGAGTTAACAATATTTTTGGTACTTATTGTTTCAAAAGAAATTAAAAATAACAAAAATAGACATGAAATGAAAGAATGTTACAAATGAATTTATTTTTTTCTGTTCCAAATATTTTCCCTATTGCTCTCCTCAAGTCATTGACATTCACTGAGGTTCAGTTCTACAGGCATGAAGAATTTGCCCGAGTTTCCGTTCTTCATGTCTAAGCCCAGACAATGAGTTTCAGTAGGCTATTTGGCCAAAGAGAGCATTACAGCCGAGGGAATCACGGGATAGTAAAACTCTTGCAATATCAGTGTTCTAACGTGTAACTTAAATAACTTGGATTCCTGCCTGACTGCTGTTAATTCATAGAAAGCTAACAGTTACCATGAAGGTAAATTCACACATTTATGTGCCCTTTCCCACTAATCTCACCAAACTGTGCTTGTTGCAGTATAATTGGCAGCCAAACTCTTTCCAAGTCTTTAATCTTGTGGACATTTTGATTTCAGCTTCTGGAGGAGCAAGGATTGATTCCTGGACGTGATATGACCCCTGAAGCTGCAATTGGAAAATTGTTCTATGTGCTGGGCAAGAAGGACTTGACACCAGAGGCGAGGCGTGAAGTATGGAGTAACCCTTTTCACAAGATTATAAGATTGGTTTAGATTCAGCCTATCTGATCTCATCCCTCCAGCTTACCCACCCTACCACTCTCCCATCTGTTTAATTGCAACAACAATAACTTGCATTTATATAGAGCCTTTCACGTGGGGTAGTGTCTTGGAGCACTTTACAGTGGCGGTGTCTAACACTGAGCCAGGAGGAGGGAGGAGGTGTCCGTATCAGGAAGGTCTTCAAGTGTGAAGGAGGTGACAAGGCGGAGGGATTGAGCGAGAGAGTTACAACGTTTGGGGGCATAGTGGGTTGAGAGCACGGCCGCTGATGGTGGAATGGAGAAGACGAGGGACAACAGGAATGTATTCCAATGTCCTGGTCTCAACCACCCTTTCTGGCAACCTGTTCCAATTATATTTTTAAATTATAACATGATATCCTGCCCCACTGCTTCAATCCACAACTATTTTTGAAATTCAACATTTTTACTACCATCCGTGGTCATCTCCAGAATGCATTTAACTTAGACTAGAAGGATTCTGATGCTAATTATTTTGAGTTCGTAAACTAGACAAGGGATTCCATGGAGAAGACACACTTTAACATAGAGTAAGGTAGTCTCTGATTTTCCTTCGAGTTTGAAAGAGCTATACAATTAATCCCACCTCCCTCACTCTTTCCCCAAAGCCTTGCAATTTTTCTTTTTCAAGTATATCTAATTCCATTTTGAACGTTAGTATTATTGAACTGCTTCCACTACCGACATCTATAAGATTGATCTTAAATGGGACAACTTAAATCATATTACTGAAGCTCATCATTCCATCCTTCTTTTCACCAGATGCTGAAAAGAAGCATAAGAGGAGAAATGACAATCGATCGAAAGATCTTCCAAGAACAGCAGTAATTCCTTCAAACAGTTTTCAAGGTTTTGAATGACAATTTTTAAGTTGTCTAGTTTAATCTCGCAGTGAAGTAAAGACTAATGCCAATTCTTTACAATTGATCAAGCTTTATTAATTCAAATTAGTAATCTTATGAAAAGAATACCGCAGAATATTGTTTATGCATCCAAGTACATTTCAAAATGATTGAGGCTGGCCAAATAAAATGTTGCAGAAGAGATGAAGGAGTATGTCCAATTTAATGTCCACCAAAAGGTATTCAGTTACTGCTGTCCGTTCAATCAACAAAAAGATATCCAGATACTGCAGTACTGTTACTTAATTTAAGAGCGTCAATAAAGTTGTTGACAGTCCTCTACGTTTTAAACTTGAGTTTCCTTCTTTAGAAGCTGGAATATGGTTCACAACTCCAAGTTCCAACTCCATCTCTTCTGATTTTCTTCCCGAATCAATCTCTCTTTATCCAGTTGGTAGATGCCCTTTCACTTACTTCATCTTTTCCAAGATGATTTCTCTGAAAATAAATGAAGTAAGCCCCCACACTCCTCAAGAGCTAATGATCTGGAGCAGGCTCTTTCTGCATGGGAAAATAATTGATAAGGAGAAAGAGAAATCAACCGCTTTTTGGGAGGATTCTGCCATCTTCCTGTTTCTTAGTCTTGCGTTAAGCAGATGTCCACAAATCCGTTCCTCCCTCTGAGCCCTCTTGTGTTCACATCTATGCTCAAGGACATGATTACTCAATCTCAGATGGAAGGATGACATCTACGCAGACACAGAACGAGGGAAAGTTATCAGAATCTGACCTCAGCCGGGGTCAAGCCAATATATCTTTACCTTTGCTAAGCTAATTGACACATGTACTTTCTCAGAGCCCCCAAGCCAATCATTAAAGCAAATAACCTTATGAAAAGACTATAGGCAGATTGCATTCTAATACTAAATATAGATTAATTAAAAACCTTTAAAAAATCAAGCATTACAATTATACTTTCAGATAATAACTAATACATTAATTACAGAATCCTTACAAATTGCAACCATGCAGGTGCACAGTTTAGAAGTTTGAAATGTCATGTTAAAAGACCAGTTATTTGACTGTTAATGCAAGTGAGTTCAAATGTTACAGAAACAATATTTTGTTTTAATCCTAATCAAGACCTTAAAGGTGTTTCTGAATCAAAAATTCAGGAATGTGCATTTGAAATATGAGGTAGTGCATCGTCCTGGTATGTTAAGGTTTTTCTGTCTTTTACTTGTTATCATGAATATTAAAAGCATTAAAAAAAATATATATGCGTTTTCCTTCAAACAATAAAATTTCATTTGTAAAGCGCCTTTCACGTCGGGAGGATGTCCCTAGGATCTGAACAGTCAGGGATCAGGACCCAAGCGTGGGGCGGCAGGGTTGGAATGACAGAGGGCAGAGAGGTAGGAGGGAGGCTGAAGGCACGGTCAAAAAGGAGGGTCTTGAGTTGTGCCTTGAAGGAGGCAAGGGAGGGAGCAAGATGCAGGGATTGTGTGAAGGAGTTCCAAACAGTAGGGGCAGAGAGGCTGAAAGCCCGGCCGTCGATGTTAGGGCGGGTTGGGAAGGAGACATAGACCATGCCAGAGCCTGCTGAACGGAGGGAGAGGACAGGTTGATAGGAGATTAGCAGGTCAGAGAGGTAGGAAGGTTCAAGGCCGTGAAGAGCCTTGAAAGTTAGGACAAGGATTTTGAATCCTTTGATGGATTTGGAGCCGGGCGAGGGTGGGGGTGATAGTGTCACGAAGCCTGGTGCGGAAGAGGACAGGAGCTGCAGTTCTGCATGATCTGCAGCTTGTGGAGGGAAGAGTTGGGGAGGCCGACAAGGAGGGCGTTTCCATAGTCGAGCCTTGAGTTGACAAATGCGTGTATGGGGGTTTCGACGGCCAGAGGTGGGGGAAGGCAGAGTTGGTCATGGTATGAATATGGGGGAGAAAGGACAGTTGAGGGTTGAACAAGACCCTCAGGTTCCTGACTGGCTTGGTACGGTGGAGTGTGCATCCGTGGATGCTGATGCTGCTAGTACCTGAAGTACAGAGGTGCTGGCACGAGAGAGTCAAGAGGGCCTCGGTCTTGCTGACATTCACCTGTAAAAAGTTGGCTCTCATACAGGTGATGAGAGAGGAGTGGGGAGTTAGGTTCAAAGATGTGGAGGGACGGATGGGTAGGGGTTAGAGTGTGGGGGTGAGACTGGGAGGGAATGGCGGTTTGGAGGGCAGAGGCAGCTGAATGGATGGATCCCCTCGATTTTGGACTCAAGGAAATCCAGCATCTCACAGTCAGCGTTTGAGGAGAGAATGGGCAAGGCAAGGGAGGTTGGACGGAGGTGCTGGTTGACGGTGGAGAATAGGAGCCTGGGGTTGTCCTTCACCTCCAAGATTATGTTGGATGGATGATTTGCCAGAGGTGAGGGAGGACTGGTACATTCTGATATGGTCCGTTAGATCAGATTTGAGTCAGGTGCATTCAACGTCTCGCACCTGACCCTTGAGGGAGCAGAGGTGGCTGGTGTACCAGAGTGAGTTTCGTGAGTAGAAGGCGGTTTGGGATGCAAGGGCATCAAGAGTGGTAAAGAGAGAGTTGTGGAGGAGAGTGAGCGAGAAGGATAAATTAGTGAGGGAGGTAGGCCGGGGGAGAGGGGTCCAGAGCAGCAGAGAGGGATCATGGGGAGATTTTTTTCCAGGGGCGGTAGTAGGTGGATGTGGGTTTTGGTGGTATTGGGGAGAGGGATTGAGGAGTTAAAGGAGATGAAATGGTGATCGGAGATAGCTTTGTTCTGTGATTGTGATATCTGAGACACTGAGGCCCCAGTTAATCACCAGCTTGAGTGGGTGGCAATGAACGTGGGCGGCAGAGTGAATGTGGAGGGGAGATACAGCAGTAGGGAGGGAAGTGAAGGTTGAAGTCGCTGAAGAGGCATTCAGAACAGAGGCAGAGGGAAGCTTGGAGATGTCAGATATGAAGGTGGGGAAGGGTTTTGGTGGGGGGTGGGGGACGATAAATGAGGAGAATTTTGAGGGAAAGATTGGAGGGGTGGTAGAGTGTAAGGTGTTCGAATGAGGGGAATGAACCAGAGAAGTAAGGGGATAGCACAAGTGAGGTCCTGGAGATGAAGCCAAGGTGGTTGGGAGGTGGGAAATGGTGGGAGGTATAGTCGAGTGGTGTAGCCTCAGTGAGGGGGAAGGTGATACCTGGGGTGATCCAGGTTTCAATGAGGGCCATGATGTCGATATTTTCATCGGCAAACGAGATGGACCTATCAAGCGATATGGAAAGACGGATCTCATTATAGGTTGTGATTGAAATCAGAATTTTCAGGCCACTTTGCAGTCCAGGTCTATCAGTTGCATTTGCCTACAAAATGCACAATCACTACATTCTATAGTAAATCCTGTGAAACATTGAGACGTCCTCGGTATCAACATCATTATTCAACATTCACAAAACATCATACATTACAATGAGAAATACATTAAATCCATGCAAAAGAGAAGGTTAAGCCAAATCTAAGATTCTGATTGTCGGAACAACAATCTGAGTCTCAGTGAAACCTCTATGAAATACTACACTAAGCCTCTATATGGTGCTAGTTTAAATATTTGTTTGGGAAGAAATTCAGAGGTTGCAGGAACAAGTGTAGACTTAGGTTAATAAATACTCTAAAAATTCAAATGGTTTAGGTGTTTGAGGGACCTGGGAAAAGGTTGTCTTTTGACAGGGTTAAATAGTGGAGATTTAGGAATAGATGAATACTTTGAAGTTTTGGCTAGATTACTTTTGTGAACAAATGGAGTCTTTATACAAATGCGCCCAAGAAAATAGGTCAAATTCAGTAAAAGGAAAGGTTTTCACGGTTTAGGGAAGGAGCAGGATTGAAAGATCAGACTTTTGCTCATTTTATGCACTCTTATGTGCTGGCATTTGAATGGAAAAGAGGAATTAATAGTGATTGCAACTTAGTTCATATGTAACTCTGTGGACAGTTGTTCCACCATTTGTAATAGAAACTGGTGAAATGAAAATGTTCAAAACCAGTTACTTAGCAACAGTTTTCAGTGCACCAAATGGTTCAGAAAATACAGAGCACTGAATGAGCCTCTGTTTTATTTTGTTACATGATTTTAACTTTAGTTACAGTGCATTTTATTCCTCTGCTTATCTCTCTTTACAGCAAATGTGAATTTGAAATTCAGCAAAGGTAAACAATGTTGAACAGAAGTGTAATTTGCAGTGTCAGGATTACAGTGGACAGATCTTACTCCACGTGGCAATTTCTGAGGGCTATTTGCCCATTTTTGATTACCAGCTCAACAAATGAGTTAAGGTGAACACCGAGGATCGTTTTGGCAACACACCACTGAAGGCTGCCTTGATGTTCAGGTAAACAAACTTGGTATTGAAAAAATTAAACCAAAGTTGCATCTACAATAAAACAGCTAAGTTTTAGAGAAGACTACAGTGTGCAGGTAATAAAGGAATTAGTCTCAGAGACCTTTTCAGGTCAGCCAGAAAGCTATTTTAGGTTTTCGGTAACTAATTATTTAGTATAAGCTGCTCTCCTTCCTGCACAGTTGCACCTGCATTCTTTTCTCACAGCTTCAATTTGTCTTCAATTATGAAAGTGAAATTGGTAAAAGAGCCTCAGCATAGCACATAGACTTGGTTGGGACTGTGAAGTCTCCTGTAGTCAATTCATCTCATAGCTTTGTCGCCAAAAGAAGATATCAGGAAGATAGTACCACTATTTATACACCTGGAATTTAGGCACTCCAAATGTGGCCATCAGGGGTGTGGACTTGCACACTAACCATTCCTTGTAAAAATATGCAGATTATCTAGTGACACATTAGAACAACAATCTACCCTCTCACCCTGCTAAAAACAATAAATCATCATAATCTTACGCACTGATTAATAGAAACAAGATGTGGCAGAGCAAAGTTCCTGAGAGGCAGTCCTACACTACTGTACAGTTGTACACCTGAATTTCGGTAAGAATGAGGGTGGGAACGATTAGTTCAGATTCAAGCTTAAATATAACCAAACGTCAATTTACAGCGCAAACAGTAATGGGATTCAAATCTACAATGAGTCAGATTTATTAGTATCTGTTGAATTATTTGCCTTGACCCTCCTTATCAGATCTGATCTGAAGACAACAACAACAACAAATTACATTTACACAGCGGACATCCCAAGGCGCTGGACATTCAGGGATTTGGACCCAAGCCGGGCGTTGGGATCAGAAGGGTGGAAAGCAGGGAAGGTAGGGCTAGGAGGGTGACTGAAGGAGTGGTTAAAGTGAAGGGTCTTGAGATGGGCCTTGAA